CCAGAATAGCCACCACATCCTCATCACTGAACCGCTCCTCCCTCTCTTCAATAACAGTATCCAACAGCGCAAGCGCTCCATAATCCTCCTCCCCCAATTCGGCCTCCCCCTCGGCGTTCCCCTCCCCATTAACATCAACATCCATCCCGTCCCCATTCCCATTAACAGCCTCGCCCTCGCCCTCCCCAGATTCTTCTCCCCCTTCCTCCTCCTGTCCATCCTCACCCGCCCCCGCAGGCGCATCCTGCATCCCCACACCCAGATTAACAATCATCAGTACCTCGCCCTTCGTTAACCCGTAGGGCTGTAACTGGGTAATCAGATCCCGGAGCGCGATGTCCATGGGCGTCGGTGCGTTGGATTGGATGAGCGGGACGGCCGGGGTATCGGTCTGGGATTGCGATTGGGCTAGTTGTTGGAGCTGTTCGGGGCTTTGGTGGGTGTATTTTGGGTATTTGTAGAGGTGGGGTGAGAGGCGGGAGACATAGTTGTGGATCTGACTATATTAGCTTTTCTATCTCTCTCTATCTCTCCCAAACATGGGTTTGGTGCATGGGTGTTGAGATTCGTTTCTCGGTTCTATTGTAGAATGGGTGCTATTGTGAAGTTGGAGAAGGTAGGCGGAGGGTATGTATGTATGTATATACCTCTTTAACGACGGTATTGTGGTCTCGTAGGTCTGGGCTTGGGACCCAGTGTCGTAGGTTTGGGGGTGGGTTTGCTGGTCGGCGTGGCGGGTTTGCTGTTAGGTAGCTAGGACCTCAATGTTGGTGAGGACTGCCGATTGGGGGTCGATCACCTGGGATTTTACTGTTAGATTCGCGGTGGAATTGTCCGGGCTAGCGATTGGGAGCGTACCCTCATTGTTTATGTGTGTTTGGGGTGTTTGGGATTTCTTTCATGGAATATGTATTGTAGTGAAAATGTGAGGGGAATGGGAAAATTAAGAGATATTGACGGCAGAATCGGGCGGTGTGATTCTGTTTTTATTTGATTCCGCCTTTCGGCCATTCTGCTTAGGGGTATTCGGTATGTAGATCGGAGATATCAACAGCATTTTTGAAAATTCATGTTTTGATTCATTGTAAGTCACATGTCTACTGGGCGGGATAGGATAGCATAAAGAGATAGAAAAACCCGGCCAGTAAAGTTAACAGCTAGATGCATGGTTTAATGCAGGTAGAGGCGCTACGGGCCTTCCATGATAAGCTCCAGTTCCACAACCTGGAGATAGAGACTGGCTTATGTTCGGCACCGTGTATGAGTTTCCATTGGCCTGTTGCAGTGCACAGCATATTGCTGCTATATCAGAGAGAAGAGAGTCAAGTCATCTTGACCATCGATCGATGAATTCCTGGTCTTTTCTTCCCCCACCTGTTTGTGGAATGTGACATTGCCATCATATGTTTTGATCTGACCCACTGCAAGTGAAGCTGTGTGAATACGACACTGAAAGGGTTCATACAAGACTCAATAGGAAAATTGCAATACATACCGCATTAGCCATGGATTATGATCCGCACCGGGCTAGAACATTCGAGGCTTCTCTTATACATGTTTTTTGCTCAAATGACGTGGTACACTATAGCTTAAGGTTGACTGTTGCTCAGAGGCAATCGTCAAGCTATCATAGTGTTATGTGCATGCTTGTCGCACTGAAACTCGCTAGCATGGCGTATGGTCACTGATTCGCCGCCCTGTAGAGCGACTGTCTTGCTAAGAAGACCAATCTTTGGATGAAATGTTCAGTGAGGTAGAACGGAGGAAAGCAACTCGCCTGTTGGTTATCTCGATTAAGTTCACTGAATATAACCGCGGTCTCCTCTATGATCTGCAGGTCTTCCTCGGAAGTCGGTGAGGGAGGAAAGGTGGTAATCAGTTGCCAAAAGAGAGAGATTACTGCAGTAAGCAGAAGCTGAGCATATATCCTGTCAGACAAGAGTGGACCCAGAGTTAGTCGAACATGCACGCTCAATCAAAGAGGTCATACCAACCAGAAGGTTTCAGGCATTATCGAATGGCGCATTCGACTGAGATAGAGTAAAGTGGACCGTGCTGACTGGTGGCAAATCTCCATACTAGACGGTAGTAGGGACCAGCTCTCACGAGATGGTATACCTCCATTATTGCTCGCTCCATGAATCTTTGCTAGACAGTAGTAATACTCCAGATGTATGTTCACACCCCGTAGACTGAGATCATGAAGTAAGGAATCGGGCACGCTTCGGTCCAAGACGTCTTCCGGTTGACACGTAACCGGAAAGTTCGATTTGATGTCACTCAGCTCCTGATCCAATTCACGGATGTATTGAATCCGCCTTGCTTCAGGCTGGGCTATACCATGGTCAGAGTACAGCAAATGCTGTATTTTGGATTTTATTAGGGCAAGACGAAGGTCCGACGGGAGGAGAAGCTCTTTCGTTGATAAAGGCTCTGGAAAGAATGACCGATTAGAGGAAGTCGAGACATAAGCGGCAGGCAGATGCAGATCACAGTCGGCATCGTTTATTAAAGGAGCCTTGCATTCTCGAAGCGACATTTCTTTGTCGATGGAGTAGCACACCCAAAACAGAGCTCGCACGTGTTGGCGGTGTTGGCTCTGTTCTAAAGTCTCATCGGGGGGTGCCCTGTTTCGGTTTGCTCCCATATTATACAGCATTCGTATAGCCATGGCAAGTAGAATACCTGCCGGCCGCGGTTGACCAAGGGGGGCAATGTACAGGACCTGGAATTAGTATTATTAAAGATAGGCTTTGATCTTAGAACCGTGAGAGCCACTTACTAGCAAGGTGAGAGCTTCAAGGCTTCGTATGTTGGCATTGTCTATTATCAATTCGGGTAACAAAGTCAGCACTGCTTGCACATACGCATCAGGGTCGGCGTCAGCAAAAGCCAGGTCATTCCCGCGGATTCGGGTTATCAGAGCCGTTAAAGCCACCAGACAGGCGTAGTTGGCAGGACTGGTTGTGCTGTCGGGATTTCCAAGGGCTTTTGAATCGAGATGAATGGGTGTATTTTCCAAGTCGACAGCAGGGAAAATGGAATAGAGTCTGTTTTTCGCAAAGTACTCTATCGAACGCTGTATTAGAGACTGTGGAGGCCACTTCGGAACAATGGTCCTCGTTGAATGTGTTGGATGCTGCAGTTTGAATGATTGCGCTAGCTGATTTAAGAAATCTTCAATATTGAGAACGAACCCCGTCCGTTCGTAAACGGTGGAGGAGAAGGATGGTGTTAGAGCAAAAGGAGCGGCGCGAGGGCCGCAGAACCCGAGATGCCACCGGAAGTTTGATAGCGCAGCATCGAAGCTGTGGGATTCAAGCAAATAATTGGTGGCTGACCATGAACTGAGTAATTGGGGAGGGACTTCAAGAGGACTGCTTCCGCTTGAAAGAGCTTTAGGAGGCGTATATTGGTCCGAATTCAGACGGTTCTCTCGCTCGGCCCTCAATGCTTCTTCCAAATGTCGTACTCTATCTTTCGCATCGGCCAGCTCTCTATGACATGGTTAATTGAGTTCGTTGAGAGGATGACTGCTTGCATCTTACTCGCGAACACTTTTCCGTTGCTGCGCTGTTGGAGTGAAAGTGCAAGGCACCCCCGCAAGAGTACATGTTTCGCAGGCTGGTTTCGCTCTGTCACAGCCAATCTGTTGGGCACAATGGAGCAAAGGTCAATAGTTAGTGATTCTAGTTTATTACCCCACAACTTAGTTGCCGTTTACCTACCCTCCGATGCCGACATAGATCGCAGGCAGTCCGCGCTCTTCCACCACGTGAAGCGACGGCAGATCCGCTCATGGAGTTGGTAGCTATAATAGGTCTCCTGGTATAATCGAACAACCTGATAATTTTAAGACAATACAAAAACGCAAAGAATACAATTGACTTTGCCCGGAGGGAACTGGACGACAAACGGCCTAATGGGAATGGTGGGTTTCCCCCAGGTGCTGACCGGGCCACTGCTGGTTTGCTACCGAAAAAACCTCCACATGATAAATTTGGTTTTATGACCCACTCAGCTCACTTTAGGCATAGTTAGTTACTACCTAGTTTGATCATTCGTAATGAGCCACCCCAATGGACACACTGAAAAGAGTACCCAGCCTAAATTTATAGTAAGTCGATTTAGACGAAGTATCCTCGTACGTATGAATCATTTGAGTATCTTTTTCTCTCTCTTTTGATTTTGCAGCTGGTGTTCAAATGGATCCCTCTTCCACTAAGTTCCATACAAGCCCAGCTAACCCTTGCATATTGACAACCCCGAAGACTAAATCCGAAGTAGACCATTACTTCTTGAAAGTCTTAATCGCAGCTGTGTCTACGCCCATAGTAATGTATCCAATCATCCCCTTGCTGATATCCTCACCATCCGCCGGGACAACGGATACAACGGGATTGAATCCTCCGTCAGTGCCCTTGGGGAATATAGCATCCTGTGCGTTGGTGGTACGATTGACTTGAGTGTGTGAGGCGTAAGGCTCCAAGCTCATAACCTTCTGCGAAAGCGCTTCATCGAAATAGAGCTGTCCAGTGCTTATGGTATTGCCGGAAACAATTGTGCCGTTTCCTCGGACAATCCAGTCAGTGTGTGCTTGAACATGTATATGAATAGCACGCTGGACGTAGAACCCTATAGTACAGATGCATCAGTGTTTAATAGCCGGAGATCTATTGCTTAACATCTTGTTAGGTCACACCTGGGAATATAGTCTTGATCTCCATGACCCCATTCTCGTCAGTGGGCCACATTCCCCGCAGGAAGGTAGTATCGTCCGTATGCAGATCGGTAACACCAATCTCGAAATCAGTGATATTCAGTTCATCCAGAAGCTTGCTAAACGGGGTATTGGGTGAAAGGTGAGTAAACGAGGAGTAAGAGCCGGTCGCATTGCAGTGCCAGAAGTCGACGAGGACATTCGGTAAGGGCTCGCAGGTCGCCATGTCGAGGACTCCCACATCAAGCCACAAAGGCACACCTGCCTGGCCCTCCGTCATATCCTGGCGTAGAGTCTGAGAGCGCGGCCAGGCGTAGGGACCACGGGTTACCTCGGGACTGAGGACACAAGTGTCGTTCTGGATGGTGTCGTAGTAAGGGGCGTCTGTGGTAATCTCGAAAGTCGAGTTGTGACCCGAACCTTCCCAGCGTTTCTGCATTGCTCTCTTCGCCATGCGGCGTCGATTGAAATCCGCTGCGTGGTTGGCACATTGCTTGGCTAGCCCATTACGCCGCTGAATTTCTGCACGAGGCACGGCATGGTCAGGGCCAGGATGAGCAATTGCAGTGGTCGCTGCTAGAGCAGCAAAAATGAGCTTTGAAAGGAACATGTTTGATTTCCAACGACAATCAATGAATAACCAAGGGCGTGAGTAGCTTAATGAGTGTGAAAGACCGTGGGACCTTTATACTTCTCGAGGAGTACTCAGTGCACTCCGCTCCGACCCGAACATTGCATCTGCCATCCTCTGCAGAATTCTCCATCTCCAAGAAGCTGTGAATCAGAATGTCTTGCACCGACGGCCTCCGGTTTCTTGCCAAGAACTCCATTCTTCAGAATCCCAGCGTAGGTCGGATATGATCCCTGTTATGGATTGTCGAACTCCACCTTTCCCTTCCCCAGTCCTGTGAGATAGATAACAAGGTCTCGCACATAGCACATGATTCCAAGAACTTCCGCGAGAAAATAGTAGCCAAAAACGTAGACTTCTTCCACCTTCAATTTGAACAGCCATGGACTGAGCCATAAGGTTGCGCCTTCATCCCATTCAAGTTTTGGAAAGCCAGTTGCTACCCCAAACGAACGTGGGGCTATCCTGAGCCGTGAAGAAACCACATCTCATGCTTTCATTAGTTCACCGCGTAATCATTTCTTGGCTTCTATGGATTGGTACATTTCCAGGAACATTCAGGATTTATACCCGACCTCGCGAATCACGTAGTGGGCGAAGCTGAAGAACACTTGGAGATGATTGGAGATGCTCCCGTGATCGGCGTAGGACGTCGATCACGGAGAAAATGAATCCCGCTGACTCAGCGCGTGGTTTGGCCCTCCATCAATCTGATATAACCCTAGTAGTTGCGGCCGGCGCATGCAGGCTCAAAGAGCTATACAATTGTCTCTGATTGGAGCGCTTGGGGTTACAGTATTTAGTAGTCCAATGACACAGTTCTAACAGAGTGCTTGAAGTTCCATCAGCGGGTAGACGATCCATACTTCCCGAGCTACAGACTACAATGGCAAGGCAACAAATTACCTGCGGTACTTTACTAACATAATACAAAGTCAGGTAGAGTGAGCGGGATTCTCTGCAATGCTTTGTGTACGGCACTAAGCTTTTCGTACTTTAGGTAGCATTCTCACGGCCTACAAATATATAGTCCAGATCAATACATGCTCTTGTGGTCTTGAAGGAAGTAAAAACCAGAGGGACTCTGCGATCAAATGAATCTCATCCACTTGTCAATAGTAACACGGACTGGAATAGTGTTGCCTGCGATATCAAACGGGGTGAACATACATAACGATTTACTCCGAGTGATGAACAAGTACTACTGCAGCTAGTGAAACCGTCCGTGATATGGCCTAGGAGTATGTAGTCTAGAACAGTTCGTTTATCCAGTTGGGTCAAGATTCAACACGTCACCTATGTGGACCTCATTTCTAGGTACTCTCATTCTTCGTCAAGAACAATTTCCTCGAAATGTAGGCGCCTAAACAGTGTTCCACAAGCACTTGTGGAGTACACGCCAGGTACCGGCAGTAAAACGGGAACAGTGCTAAGATCTGCAGACTGCAGCACCGTCGGCAAATGCAAAATATACTAGACACCATTCGTGGGTATCTAAACTAGATCCAAACTCTGCTGTTAGCCGAACGGACCCAATATCTTAACTTGTGCTGTAGAGGCAGAGCATATAAAGCTCACATCCTCATTTTCAGTCGCAATTCTACCGACTCGCAAGAACTCTCATTAGGCTTATTTCTCCTCCCTTAATCAAGTCACCATGGTCCAGCTTGCTTCTACTCTTGCTCTCGGCCTTGCTAGTATAGCAAGTATTGTGTCTGCTCATCCAGGGCACAATGTCGAAGCGGAGGCTGCCGAGCGTGCCAACTTCCTGCAAAAGGCCCCAATTCAGTCACGCAGCCTCGCTCACTGTGCCACAAGCTTGAAGGCACGTGGTGTTGAGGACCTTAACGTTGCTCGCCGTGAGAATGCTGTGAAGCTGTTACGCAGGCAGAGGGGGTTGAATACCGGTATATTCATGGATCTCTAAACGAAGATGCAAGTTTTATGCCACGGAGTGCATGCTGATATAGGTTCAGGGGCTCGATATCTCAAAGCACGGGACTTGGACTCTGTACTGGCGACGGATCATCACTCCAAACTGACTCATGTTGACCCTTCCACCGACCCTCGTGTCCTATTCGGCTCGGAGGGTACATGTATTGTACAACCCGAGGTGACGCAGGGACCGTATTGTACGATTATTGAAACGGTTGTTGCGTGTCACTTAGCTGACTTTAGACAGACATCGCTGGTGAACTGATCCGCAAGAATGTGGCCGAAGACCAGCAGGGTGTGCCTCTCTATATGGACATCCAACTCATCGATACGAACACCTGCAACCCTCTCCCTGACATCTACACGGATATCTGGCACTGCAATGCCACGGTGCATCTACCAATCCCAGTTTTAGCTACCGCAGGCCGTTGAAAATCTGTGACTGACTTTTAACATTGCTCTAGGGTGTTTACTCTGGTGTCGTCGCGAACGGCAACGGTAATTCGAACGATACCGGCAACATCGACACCACATTCCTTCGCGGTGTTCAGCCGAGCGGCCACGATGGTGTTGTCCGGTTTGAGTCCATCTTCCCTGGCCACTACACTGGCCGGGCTATTCACATTCACGGTATGGCCTCACCGAAGATGTACTCACTGCCTAGGAGATTAAGCATGTTGCTAACGACTCAATTTAATACAGTGGTTACCCACCCCGCGAATGAGACCAAGATCTTGCCCAACGGTACTATCGCCGGCATGTACGACGGTCACTCCTCGCATGTTGGTCAGATCTTCTTCGACCAGGACCTCATCACTGAAGTCGAGAAGAATACCCCATACTCGACCAACACGCAAGAGTTGACTAAGAACTCTGATGATAGCATCCTTGCATCGGAGGCTGACACCACCGACCCATTCATGGAGTATGTTCTGCTTGGTGACAATGCCTCAGATGGTATCTTCGCCTGGATCTCAATTGGCATCGACGCTAAGAGAGATGATTCTCTCTCCCCCGAGGGATACTGGACCGAGAATGGTGGTGAGGTCAACGATAACTTCAGCATGAACATGGCCGGTATGGGCGATCTTCCGACGGGGGCTGCCAGCGGCGCTGCTCCTAGCGCTTCTGCATAAACGAATGGCAATGGTGGTCTCTTGAAGTGAAAAAAAGATACATTTGGGCAGCATTTTGGATGTGTCTTACTTAGTTGGGCATGAGGACGAATGTTGTTGCAGCATACAAGATTTGTGGAAGGAACTGGCTGTATTCTACCTGTATAGTGGAGGAAACATGCCTGACAGGGGTTGTTAATTGTTCCTTTCAGCAACATGGCGGCAATAATCAGAGAAATATCCTCGCATTTATCCATATAAACCAAATCGTAGATCTCACCCACAGACCTTCGACACCCCGACAGGTCTAGGTTGCACATTCCTTACTGAATCCCCCGCCTCCTCATTCCCCCAATCCATCACCTCCCTCTCCAGAGCCCCCAAATCCAAGTCCTTACCCTCACAAAGTAAGTCCCTCTTTTTCAGCAGCTCTAGTACTTTCAACAACCAAGTCCGACACGTAACCCCCATCTCATTGACCTGATCATCGTAGCTGCGTATCAACTGGCCTGCTTCGCTCAAGACAGTCTGAGAAGAAGGTAAATCTGCGATACGGATAAGGCCGACCAAGAGAAAGGACTTCAAGATGGCGGATTCCGGAGCATGCGCGGCGATCCAACCGGTACTTTCATTTGTGATATGATATTTTGTTCCTGTATCGTGATGATGAAGGTAAAGGGCCCAATGGAAGTTGTCCGGGATTGGTGGGTCGGTGCGGATGTAGAGGGCGATATAGAGGGAGTTTGGAGTAAGAGACATTGTCTTGTTTTTGCTAAATAGGGGCTGTAGGAAGATCTATAAATAATAGGAGCCAGTCGATGTAGGATGTGAGGTGAATGTGGTACAGAAGACAGACATGGAAAGCAGGTCCAAAGAGGTGTCCAAAGATACTTACATCAGCTACCGTACTACAGCCACGAACATGGATGGATAATATCAAGATTAGACCTAACTGCCTTTACCAACAAGCACCGCTGCGCCATGGATAGATGAACCAATCCATCCTATAAATGCCACCCAAAAAATAGAAAGTGTTCAAGCAAATGACAGGAAATTGAACCCACAAAGTGTGATATCATACAATAATGTAGCGATCCATCAGTTTTTAACTTTTTGACATGATTTACTCGTCCTTCTTCTTCTTCTTCTTCTGTTTCTTCTCGCTGTCCTCATTGTCGTCGGAGCGCTTGCGCTTCTTCTCCTCGCCCTTGTCAGCCTTCTTGGCCTCCTTCTTGGCCTTCTTCAGGTCCTTCTTGCTGACCGAGCTAGGGTTGCCTTCCGCATCGAACTGAATCTCGCCGCGCTCAAGCTTGCGCTTGTACCGCTTGAGACTCAATCCAGCCTTCTCGGCCATCTTCTCAAGGTCGGCGTCCTTGCTCTTCTTAGACTTCTTCTTGCTCGATTCCTCTTCCGACTCATCAGATGACTCAGCCTCTTCATCAGAATCAGCATCGGCCATCTCGGTATCCTGGACCTCCTCAACAAGCTTCTTCTGCTTCTTGGCAGAAGAAGGCTCATCAACAGCATCGGCATCAGCGTTGTATTTCCTGGCCTCGTTGAGTTCGAACTTCTTGGCCTGTGCAGGTGTACCGTTGGGAGCAATGGTCACACCACGGGGCTTGAGAGGCTTGCCTTCCATGGCAGCCAGCTTCCTCTCAAGGTTGAACCGAGCCTCCGTACCAAGAGCAGCCTTATCCTCCTCGGTAGCATCGTCATCCCACTCGGCAAGAGCATCAACACGGAGACCAAGAGAGGCCTTGGCAGCGAGAACTCTGGCCATCTTACCCTTGTTCTTGCCAGTAGCCTGACCGATGAGGGATGCGTGGTAGATGAGACCATACTTAGGAGTGTCGTGCTTGGTCTTCAAGGCACGGAAAAGGGCCTTCTCGGCTCCCAGAATCTGGAGAGTACTGGCGGGGCTCTTGGAAAGGTTGGTCAAGCTACCGGCATGAGCAATAAGACGGGCGCCGACCAATTCACCAACGAGAGCAGTCAGGTTAGGCGCAATGGCGTTCATACGGGCGGTCAAATAACCGGCAAGTTGCTGACGGTACTCCGTGAAGCCAACAACCTGCTCAGCCAAAGCCTGGATGTTCTCCAGATCCTCCTCGCTGATCTCGGTACCCATGGAGCGGTCCGCGGCGGCCTTGACAGAGCCCTCGAGCTCCTCGGGCAGAATCTCGGCGAGATCAGAGGACTCCCAGTTAGTGCGCATACCCATCTTCAAAACGAGTTTCGCGTAGGCCAGGTTGTCGTTGAGAATCTTAGCCAGCTCGGGGAAGTGCCAGCCGTACCATTCCTTCACGCGCATAGCATAGTTGTTGAGCTCCTTATCCAAATCATCCAGCAGGCCAATGGCTTGTACAATCATAGTATCAATCTTATCGGGAGAGAACTTCAGCTTATGTCTGGCAAGGGAGTGGGAAAGACCCAGAGACATGGTGGACATGTCCTGAGGGGCGAGGCCTGGAATTAATGTGGGGAGATGTTCACGGATAGCACGGTAGATATCAGTGGTGGTTGAGTCGGCGATAAGTTGAATATCGAGACCGGGAAGCTTGCCAATGGCATTTCCTTTACGAATTTTAGTCAATAACTGAACCAAATCTACTGCGCAGAGGCTCGATCGACATACCAAGCTTCGGGTCCGCAACGGCCAAAGAGACCTTCTTTTCATCCTTGACCTCATCAAGAAGACTGGCAAGACGAGGGGTAACCTTGCCCTCAACAAGAGAAGCAACTTCCTCCAGGGCCGTAGCAGCGCTGTCGAACTTCTGGAAACTCTTCAATTTCACACTATACGAAAGTGTTAGATGGACCGTCACACCGGAAAATTTTTTGCTTCAAGAGCGCGTGCGGTGATATTGGAACAACACCCACGAGAATGCAGCGAAAGCAATGACTTACAGGTTCGAAACACCCTCTGCCGTGGCAGCCTCAGTAGCCAGATCATCTCTCTTCAAAAGCTTCTTGTCCTTGGCCTTGAGCAGGGCATAACCCGCGCTGGTTTCAGTGAGGATAAACAGCGTCATGGTGGACGGCCTCAATTCCCAGCTGGTTCAAAAAATATTTAATCTAACAGCTATAAAGGTAAAAAATATGCTGGATAGGCCGGGGAGTGAGAGCGACCGTGGACGAAACCACCGAAAGCGTGCTTGGGGAAGTCGGTTTCTCGCTGCTGGCGGGAATTTTTTACCTCGAGTCTAAAGTAAAAAAATGAAAAAAGCGAGAGGGCGATCCGAGTGGCTGAGTGGCTGGTGCGTGCGGCGGTGCGTCTTACGTAACGCGGGAAGCGACTGACGGGACATGGAGATACATACAACAGCTGTCTTGCGGAGTGGTTTTGGAATCCTCCCGAGCTGCATCGTCATCGCACAATGGAGGGTCTCTTCTTTAACGTTAACAGCGGGTATGTATGGCTCAGTATCATATTTGGGGTCTCGCGACAACGTCGAACTAATGCTCTACAGCTATGTTGAGGGCATTGTCCGAGGGTATCGGAACAGCCTCCTCACCGGCCAGCACTACAACAACCTGACCCAATGCGAAACCATAGATGGTCCGTTCGCTCACACCCGTATCGCTACTTATCTACTATATACTTATCCCAGTACTGGCTGCAGATGTCAAACTCCAGCTCGCCCCCGCATACGGGGACTTCCTCGCCGCGCTTCCTCCCAACCCCTCTACCTCAGCCCTTGCCGGCAAGATGACGGATAAGCTGGTCGCTGAATTCCGCTATGTACTCACCCAGGCCACAGGGTCGACGGCCAGATTTCTCGAGTACCTGACTTACGGCTATATGATCGATAATATTGCTCTTCTCATTACCGGTACTTTACATGAACGTGATACCCGTGAGCTTCTAGAGCGATGCCACCCCTTGGGCTGGTTCGAGACCCTGCCCGTACTGTGTGTGGCCACGAACATCGAGGAACTTTATAACTCTGTTTTGATTGAAACACCATTGGCCGGCTACTTCAAGGGCAGCCTCAGCCACCAGGATCTGGACGAATTGAACATCGAGATCGTGCGCAACACCCTATACAAGAACTACCTCGAGGACTTCTACCAGTTCGTGAACACGCACCCAGATTTCAAGGGCACTCCGACACAAGAGATCATGTCTGAACTTCTAGAGTTTGAGGCAGATCGCCGTGCGATCAATATCACCTTGAACTCGTTTGGCACAGAGCTTTCGAAGCAGGAACGGAGAAAGCTGTACCCGGAGTTCGGTAAACTCTACCCTGAAGGATCATTGATGCTTTCACGGGCCGAAGATCTGGAGTCCGTGTCGCTTGCTGTCAGCATATCGGCTGACTACAAGGCCTTCTTTGATGCTGTGGGCCTTACCCAGGGTGCAGGCTTCGGTGGTGGTTCGGATGGAAAGAGTCTCGAGGACATGTTCTACCAAAAGGAAATGGAATTGTCCAAGGTCGTCTTCACCCGGCAGTTTACCCCGGCGGTAGTGTACGCATGGATGAGGTTGAAGGAACAGGTCAGTCCAAAACTGTTTTAGTAAGAGAGGCACCAGAATTAACCACACATTGCACAGGAAATCCGAAACGTTACGTGGATCGCGGAGTGCATTGCACAACACCAGAAAGAGCGGATTGGCAACTTCATCTCTGTCTTCTAAGTGTCCCTCCTCTGCACCACCTAATGTTCAATTCATGTGATTTATTCGCATTCACAAAACTTCCCTATTACCCCGAACCATATGATTCTATGTATCTCTTTCCCTCTTTCCCTTTCCCATCTCTGTCTTGTGACTAGCTTTCAGTTATCCACTTCTGTGACGAGCGCATCAAGTCGCCCGGCATACATTGCCAGTTCCTGATCTCTTCTACTTGCCTAGGGCGTTGGGGAATCTCGTTTTGTGCGGTATAGTATAGATGAACTGATCATTTGCTTATATCTTGAATGTAAACTTTGTTTGTTCAACGTAGTGATTTGCGTTTTTGAGGTAAACGATACAACTATCGAGTTTTTTCAATACAGCATCAATTTCTTATGTCAACACGTTTGAATCTCAAATCGTCGCAACTTTTACATTCAATAAATTTAGACTGCATGGTCCACTACTCGAGTGTAAGTTAGTCATGCTTGTATGAAAGTTAGTACAAGTGTATCCGTGCAGATACGTGGTCAGGGCCAAAACTCCTTATAATACACAGTTTTGTGTTATGCCAAGAAGAACCGCAGTTGTAGAGCAAGAAATATGCAGTGAAAAGGTCACGCAGTAGCCTGAGCAATCGCAACAATCGCAACGAGCGGCAAATGGAAATTTGGGATGACAGGGGCTGAAATGGGGCTGAAATAAGGTCCGGTCGATTGGCCTAGAAGCCTATCTACTGGTTTCATAAATCGGTCGACACATTCAACGCAGTTACGTGATATGCGATGATGGGATTGTATAGTCATAAAAAGATCCAATATAGAAAAGGGGCGTCAGCATGCTGGGGGTTGTCCAACAAAATCAAACATTTCAGCATATGAGTTATTTTCATCACTCCTTTTTTGGTTTTCAGGATTCATGCTAAAGCTCCTTCCAAGAGGAAGGATAAGATAAAAAAAAACGCATCAAAAATTGTTGGATAGATTCGTTAGTCGTACTGGAAAAGGACACTGATACTCTCGCCATGGTGGACACGACGAATAGCCTACGGCGTATTAGCAACAAAACTCCTTCAAGTATCAAAGCCAACCTACCTCAGCGAAGACATGGCCAACTTCCAAAACCTCCAGCTTAGGGCACTGGCGCAGGTGCTCCGTCTGGTCGACGCTGTTCGTGACTACCACCTTGTCAAGGGCACTGGCGTTGATTCGATCAATAGCATCCCCACTTAGGATACCGTGAGTCACCAAAGCGTAAACCTGAGCGGCACCTTCCTTCTTCAAGAGCTTCGCAGCCCTAGTAATGGTATTGGAAGTATCCGCCAGGTCATCAATCAGGATAGCGGTACGGCCTTTCACATCACCAACCAACATCATAGTGGCATTTTGACGGTCCGTGATGCGTGTGGGACGCCGTTCCTATAAACTATTAGGAAACACAAAGAATGTTGAACTAGCATGCAGAACAAACCTTGTGAATCAATGCGAACTCAATACCCATGGAATCCGCAATTGCTGTGGCACGCTTAGCACCGCCAGCGTCGGGGCTGACAATGACAGCCTGCTTGTAATTGGGGATGGTCCGCTGAATGTAACTCTTAAGCAGCGGTCTGCCATACAAGTTATCTACAGGAATATCGAAGAATCCTTGATACTGGGGATCGTGCAGGTCCATCGTGATGATGTGGTCGGCACCAGCACAGGCGAGCAAATCAGCTACCAGTGTGCCTGCTTGAGCCACCCACTGCTTGTAGCCTGGGCGTGGTTGGAAACTGTTGATTTTGTTCACGCTGTCTTCGCCGAAAGCACCATTGGAAACAGCAGCCTTGCTGCTCTCTGGCTGCGAATCTAAAGTTTCACTGCGAGAGAGTCCACTAGTCGGGCGCTTCTTCACAGGACTGCCGTTGCTGATATCCTCTATTTGAGCCTTTGCAAGGCTCTTCTGGAGGTTATCAACACCATTCAGAAGACTTCCACTCTCAGGCTTCCCAGGATATGGGGTTGTAGGGGTGCTCTCGAAAGTATAGCCATTTGCGGAGTCCGACTTTCCAGGAACCGATGACTTTACAAGAGGCGCTCCAGTCTTATTGTAAGGAATATCACTCTGGCGAGAGTAAGGGAAAAGAGGAAGAACAGCGGTGACCCTCTTGGCGGAGGCGGTCTTGCATGCAGAGATGGTAATGAGTAGCTCCAGGAGGTGGTCGTTCACTTTTCCACCACCAGATTGAATGATGTAAACATCTTTCCCACGAACAGATTCTTTGATTTCAACTCTAGTTTCGCCCACAGAAAACTTCGAAAGGAGAACGTCTGCTGGCGGGATACCCAGGACGCCGCAGATGTTCTGAGTCAGTTGCGGGTGGGAAGTGCCCCCGATTACAACGATATTGCGTACCATGGTGGCAGGGTCTTCAGGTTGATGGGGTTTTGGAAAAACGGTAGAATAGATGGGCAATGGAGAGGATGTCTGCGTCGAGAGTGGAGAGAAACCAGGAATATCCGATGAGGGAGGTCTGGAGGGGCGATTATTGATGGGTGAGATTAGCTTAAGGTTGAAAGAAGCTTGGAACAATGAATGGACAAAATTGTGGCGAAGACAGACAGAAAACTACCTCATGGCGGGGATTCAAGAACAGTGTCCGATTGATGGAGTGGAGAGGACATTGAATAAAGGACTGAGGTAGAGGGTCGTGTGAGTCCCGCGATAGAAAAAAAATGCCTCTTCCGCCGGTGGAACCAAACGTGCTCCAAGCCTCGGATTTCTGCCGTAATAGCCCCAGGCTGCAGCATGCCGCCTGCCGCATCCGGCTAGCTGCACACAAATTAAACAAAAACGACTGGAAAATGGCGATGCGCCCCGCAAAGGCCGGGTGAGAGATAAATGACGGGAGATGTGGGAGGGGAGGAAAAAAAAAACAAAAATATTAGCTCCGACTCCGGATTTCAGAGATACCCGTAGTTCCAAGACAACAACAACAGCAAGTTGTGAGCCACTCCCCTCGCAAACCAAGCAAGAAAGTAGGCGCCCTCAGTCATGAACGTGCTAGCTGTTGCGTTACAAGAAGAGCAATGTCTCCATTGGGCCAATAGGTACATGGAAACTTGGAAAGAAAACGTGCCGGAGAGCATCAGCGGTCTGGTGGGAGGCAAAAGAAAAGAAACGGAAAAAAGTAATTTTCATGACAATTCTCATTACTCCACATCCAATTCCCAATGTTTTGTTGCGATAGCAGGTAAAGCACAATAGAGAAGAAACCCAGGCCATGTATAGATACAGTGATACAATTTGAATCGCCTGTGAGGGGTATCCTACGATGAGATGCAGAGTCAGCATACACCCTCAAAGACATACCAGATGTATCTTGACAGACCTCACAAGCTATAGCGGCGAAGTCGAAAAAGAATTTGCTCACAGGTACCTAAAGCTGTATAGTGTACACAACGATTTATTCACCAGTGCCGACCTCCCTGTAGAACAGTCAGCATGGAATCTCTCGAAACAAAAAGGTTCCGAAGCGCGACAAATAGCACGCTACAAGGGATAGCCTTGGAAAGGATCACTCACAGATCAAGCTGGCTTCCCGAAGAAATGCTGTAGTCGGCCAGGGTTAGGAAATCTTTGAAAGGACGCTCCCCTTGGCGCTTGAGGAGGATTTCATGCGGTTCACGTCCAATACGTGCTGCAACCTGTGCCTTAAAAAGCTCTGTGACATATATTAGCTGCCAAAACTCTAGTCCTCGATCATCAAAGGGCAACGAACTGATTGGATCCGATGCAAGACATGGAATTGAAGCTTTCGAGCCAAGGCGATCATTCACATGCACAATAATCATGGGTTCTGAGGACTGAGGAACGGCGGGCTTCTTTTCTTTCTTCTCTTTCTTCTTCCTCTCTCTCTCATCACCCTCAGGCCGCCTTCGGTCACGATCGCTATCCTTGTTCCTATCCTCAGGTCTGTACGTGTCTCTGTCACGTCGTGGAGATCTTGCCCGTTCTTCTCTATCTCTGTATCCTCGATTTAACCTGCGCTCATCTGCATCGTGTCTGCTGTCGCCATCGCGCCGTTTGTCCTTCCATCGGAAACCTCCCCCTCCACTTTTTCTAGGCCGCTCCCTGTCAGACCTTTCCCTGTCAGACCTTTCCCTGTCAAGCCTTCTCCCTGGCGATCTGCTCCTTGAACGCTCGCCCATGATCAACGACGTAGAGTAATGTGGTTGAGCGATCAGGTTGACGCTCTCAGCAGTGGAATCCCGCTACACGTGATGATGTATTGCGGCCCAGCCTTTTGGTCGCAAGATGCCTACACTAAACTGTAAATGGATTAGTACAACAAATGCTAAGCACTGACCTCCGTGCTTAACCCCGTGCATATTGCGATTGAACTTATATCAAAAGCTTCAAAGCTGGCTTACAGCGTCGCAGATTTTTGAATCAGTGATAAATGGCCGGCCGCCTAATACTACGACGTCCATCTCCGACGACTGTCTCGTTCACCGTGTCCAATGCCTCCAGACAAACGAGCACACCGGCAAAGATACTCTACTATCTTCAAGTCCTTCTGCGCGCATTAGTCTTCGTCTGCGTGGTTTTCTTCAATATCGCAAGACTCCGCCACTCTTTCTTCAACCAAGATGGATTTTTAGTACGCTGGAATACAATATGGTCGAGTCCATTAGGGTCACTTGTATCCCGAAGTGTAGATTCATACAGTTCTTGGGTCGTCGTTCTAGTGAGCGCGATTATTATCTATGGTGTCTTTAGGAAGGGCTATACGGGTACGCTAGAGTGCTGCTGTTGCGGTAAATGGTTTCAATGCTAACTTCTGGGACTTGTACAGAGGAATCACTGCTAGTCATACGCGGTTTAGGAATTCAAACTTCTACTTCGTCCCTGACCTATCTCTCCAAGGCCTCGACACGATTCATTCCCACCACTCAGATCCAGGACATTGTGATTCACGAAGCTTTTAAAGGTTTTGAAGTCCGCTTTTACCTAGCAATTATTGTAGATGGGGAGCCTGAGGTTGTTGTAGTATTCCCTGTAAGTATTCTTACACAGATAACTGATGGGCCCTAACCAATATATGACCAGAAACTTTTGCCGAACCGGGCAATACTGGAAGAGGTTTGGAGGGGTTCACGGCACTGTCTTTATGATTCGAAATCTTAACATGAAGGAGTTTGGTAGTAATTATTTTGCCTTTGAAAAACGGGCATTCTCATGTCTGATTGAAGCACACCTAAAGGCGAACTATTCTATAAAGGTATGGCATACAACCGAATTTCCTTTCTACATCTCCATGCGACTGGGCTCTGCACCCTTTTCAGTCTTCCGCTGTTTGGCTGCAAGCCATCTCGCGTTTTGAACCTCCACGGGATCCGTCTTTCTCTTCTGCATGACCGGTATATACTGTCCTCCGAGTCTTGGTTCATTCGCGCCATAGAAGACTTTTTGGCTCCGCTTTTGTTGCTCATCCTTGACTCCCTTGGCTTCGCCATTGACAATTCCTTGGTCCCCTTGGCTGACGGCAAGATCCAGTAATGTACCAGCCAAGATCTCATCAATCTTACGTTGCCTCCAAACGGACCAAAGACTGTCTACTACCCCTCCAAGGCCGTACTTGCCACCTCCTCTACCCACTTGGGATTTTATCTGTCTGCTGTCTCCGGCGTAGACCCAATCTAACGCATCTGCACGGCTGCCGCTATCCTCATCTGGGAAGACACAGTTCCAAAGAACAAGGGGAGCGTCGGAAGCCATCTCATACGTCGGCTTACGCGGGTTCTTGGTTATGTCTAACAATTCCGGCACAATAGTCGGTGGCTCGAGCCCCTGGCCCACTAGGAACAAAATACCCACCATGTGCCGCACCTGATGCCATAGAAAAGCGGATCCTCTCAAGTTAAATACATATACTTGAGAAGGTGTTGGCGAAGGAGTCTCCGGCGGCCGGGAGTTTTGTTGTGCAGCAGGGCCTTCTAGAGCTTGGAATCCCGGTTGACCGACATATCCCAGTGGGCTGCTTCGCGGGTCAAGGAGCTCAATGTCCGAATGGTATATAATTCTTTCAAAATTCTCGATTTGTTTGCTGGTGTCCAGCTTGCAGAAGTTGCGGAAGTCGTGTACTCCCTCAAAATACTTGGCGGCTTCACGCATAGCCTCGATGTCTAGCCAACCCTCTCTGTATTTTGCGCGGCTGTCTCCTGCCTTGTTGTCCGCACGCGATGTGAATCCAAGAGGCCCTGGCGTAGGGGAGAAGGCGGGTTGGGTAAAGAAATACTTGTAATGGCGTTCCCGACATGAGAAACGGGCGTCGAAGCCTTCGGGGGGGTGTGGGCACCATGCCAGGACCCGGATATCCTCTGGAAGCACTCTGTTCAGAATACTGATGTATGGTATTTCATCAGCGATATCATCCCAGTTATCTTCGGCGACATCAGCTAAAACAGTAGCTTCTTCTCCGGTTTGCATAGTAGTATCCGAGCTAGGATCCGCCTGCGCAACATGATCACGCTTGGGTCGCGCGCTTCGTACCCTAATACCGATAACCTGTCCAAAAGCACTGACACCCCGGTCAGTCCGGCCAGCCTTAGAATACTGACATCCTTCCCAATTGATCAAGTATGGCTTTAACTCCCTTGGGCCCCTGGTATCTTGAAAATCATCCGCCTCTCCATTCTCTGGGAAAATCAGGCGTGTCTTCCGCAAGGCCTTCCACATCTCTTCTTCAATCGTAGGGAGTGGCGTGACATTGCCGTTGGCATGTTCAAGACCGTTGTACCGTTGCCCCAGATATGCGAACTTCAGAGCAATAAACCGAGTATTGTATTTGGAAGGATCAATCACTCGGGGCTGCTTCGGGGGACGATTCGGCGCGCGAGTATGTGTGATATCGTCCTCTGGGGGAGGTTGGTATTTGCGCGCCCCCTTCTTCGACGAAACCCTCGCTGTCTCGGTGGGGTTATCGAGCGCTGGGTTCGAAGGTACAGATTCGTTTGCGACTTTCGATGAGGTAGCAAATTCCGCATTACGAGAGTGTAGCTGGCGTTCTAGCTCTGTAATTCTGGAAATCAGGTTTTCCGGGGTCCAGGTCGAGTAGTCGGTTTGACTTTGAGGTAGAAGTGGTTCCCCGGCGTCGGACATGGTTTCAGGTGTGAGAGAATCAACTTGCGCGTGACAATGGTTGAGAGTATGAAAGGGTCGTTTGGTCAAGAGACGTGGTGCAATGCGACTCGGGTAGTAACAGAGTCGACTTTGAACTCTCCACATTCCCCTAGAGCTGGCGAAAATGGTTTGTTGTACCCGCTAAACTTTGGGGAGCAGTTGGCGGGGGGCGATGTTGGAAATTTTTGAAGTCATTTTTGTTAAGTAATTTAATATCCGTGTAAGGTAATTTTACGGAGATCTGCTAGATCTACTTTAGATAAGAAAACAGTGGCTTTTGATATTACATGCATAGTCTTGGAGGCCCTTATCATAGAACTGGTTTGATAAATCCAGTATGTAATGATCTAAGTTAGGGAATTGGCTTTCTTAATACCGCTTAACATTGTAATGGTGGCATCCCAAGTGATATGACAACTACTTTCTATATCTCTCCGCTCCATTGATCTTCACAGCACCCAACCTCAGCTACTACTCGAACACACGATAACTTCAGACAGGCTTATGAAAGCTCTGCTAGCCAAATAGCTGTCCTAACTTTATCCTATACAACAACAAGATTTCGTATCTACTGTAACAGCACTTCGTGAATTCGCCCCAATGACGAACCAAGAGAGTGGTCCGGACCAGGAGAACACAGTGACTATCCTCCTCCTCGGAGACCCAGGATGTGGTAAAACGACATTCTTATCGTAAGTATATGCCAAAAGGCTATTGAGACCTTCATCGTATCTTCCAAGACGTCCTCTACCGCCGGACACTTCCTATGTTTGCATTCTATCCTTCAGCGGAATACTAATCTATCGCTCCAGAGCATTGAAACAAGGGCGCGGGAGGCTAAATGGAAATGGATCGCATACCCAACCTGAGCTCCTACGAGACAGCGACCAGCCTTTCCTTTATGATATCCGTTTCTCAAAGAAGTCCTTTGGCCTCGTGTTATACGATACTGCATGTCCCAATCAGCACTGGTCTACATTGAAGCCGGATGTGGTGCTTCTAGCTTTTGATATATCCAACAGAGATAGTTTGACCAATCTCAGAACAGTGAGTTTGCATATTTATCGATTCTTCCACAAGTCGGCCACAATCACTGATCTTCATAGTGGCGACACGACATTATCCGGTACTTCCAACATGGTCAGGGGGAACGGATCCCCGTCATGATGATAGGCCTGAAAAGGGACTTAAGAGTAGAAGGCGAAGGTATCATCTACCCACAAGAAGTAAGTACCTCGTTCCTGCGGTATCTCAGCCTGGAAATGTGCCTTATGAGCCTTGTTGTCTTACCTTCTGATGGATGCAAAAGCTGACTCAAGCAGACATATGGGATCGCACAAGAGCTCCGGTGCGATCGCTACGCAGAGTGTTCTGCTGTCACGGGAGAACTTTTGGCAGAGACGTTCGAGGATCTAGCGAGGCTTGCAGGTATGACAACTACGGATCGTGGGGGGCAGACTCAGGGTGGCTGTATAGTTCTTTGATGGGGAACGGAAGTATGTCTACGATCGAGTGTTGTGATACCCTTTTTACGATGAATATATATCTATTCTATAGTTGATCAGCTATCCGACGTAGTGTATAAATTTTATTTTTTGGCTTTGGCTTTGGCTATCATCATGCTAATTACTAGATGCCATTGCTTCCTAGGGTCAATGGAGAAAGCAGTAAGTTCATTTACTTGGTTGGGCAAACATGGGAAACCGAAAAGGGAGCTTTTACGTTATGCCATGATATCTATGCACGCCTCCCAATACGAGCCTACGCGTTGAGCTACATTTATTGCCTTATCCGGGGTTACTCGGAATACTGCTGATACACGATAGAACATGCATATGGTAGCTAGTATCACGTTTCATTTACGACTAGAATTAACATGCAGGAGAAACCAAGGTAACGACTAAGTCCACCTTGTGGAAATTGACAGCACAGGGCTTTCCCCCAGAAGCTCACCGAGATAATAGAACAACTGGATATCTTTCCCTCGTAAGCGCCAGTCAATTTTTGACAATGCTATTCCTCCCCGATGAACCATGGACAAGACGTGATAACGGACTGTAAGAAACGAGATTTCGCTGTAGCATACCAAGGGAAGTAGAAAAAGACGGTTTCAAGTTGTAGGGTTCCCGATCAGAAACTTCGATCACTTTTTCTCCTTTTTTTCTTCTTGCTTTTGAAATAGAGGTTTTCAAACAGAGACTAGGATAGACATGCCAAGAGAAGTTTTCCTTGCGGGTGATGCTGTCGGTTACTCGTCAGATCATGGGTGAAGAGAAAATTAAAACGTCAGTCCTCCTCCGCGCCAATTCTTCGCAAAAGGAAAAACTCATGCCCCTCGTAACGTCTGTCCATTGTCGCTATTTATTTTATTTACCACTTGCCCTCAGCAGGCTGGGTCTCAGCCCAGCTCTCACCACCAGCGGCAGGAGCGGAGCTGGCGGCCCAGTCAGCACCATCAGCCTCCCAGCTGGTAGGACCAGCAGCGCTAGCAGCAGCGAAAGCAGTGCCAGGAACACCAGCACCAGCACCCTGGGTGTCCCAGTTCTCGCCAGCGAAGCCAGACTCAACGGCAGCGGCACCGACCTCCTCGGTAGTAGCGACCTTGGACTCCTCGGCGATCTCCTTGTTCTCCTCGGCCTCAGGGTCGCGGTAGAAGTAGAGGTCAGGAACGACATCCCACTCGGTCTCGCGGGTAGCGAGGGTACCGCGGAGACGGAGGACCTCACGGGCGAGCATCCACCAGACAAGACCGATGGAGTGACGACCCTTGTTGTTGGTGGGGATAGCAACATCAACGAAGTCGGTGGGGGAGTCAGTGTCGCAAAGAGCGATGACGGGGATGTTGACGTAGCTGGCCTCCTTGATGGCCTGAGCATCGGTGCGAGGATCGGTAACGATGATGAGACGGGGCTCCTTGAAAGAGCGGGTGATGTAGTTGGTGAAGTTACCGGGGGTGAAACGACCGGCAATGGCGGTAGCACCGGTGTGAGAAGCGAACTTCAGGACAGCACGCTGACCATAAGGACGAGCGGAGATCACACAGATATCGGCGGGGTTGTCGATGGCCGCAATGATACGGGCAGCAAGAATGATCTTCTCCCTGTAATTTGCGCGCACGTTAGTTTTTGCACGCAGCAAAATCCGTAGCATTTCGCTGAGTCTCCTACCAGGTCTTGCCAATGTTGACAACATTGACACCGTCAGGGCGAGTCTTCCAGAGGTAAGGCTCCATGTGCACCTGAAGGTTCTTGGAACCCAGGTGGCACTGAGCAGCGAGCAGCTGCTCAATGTCCTGCTGGGTGGGGTTGAAGATCGGGGGGAGCTGAGAGGGGGCCATGGTGGGCGATTGATATTGCAATGAACAGCGAATTGAATATATCAATCGACTGGCGCTTGTCGCAGTGGTGATGACGGGGAAAGACTGACACGAAGGTGAACTTTCGCCCTCCGCGTTTGGATGATTTTCGTTTGTGAATTTTAGGGCTAGGGTACGAATTCTGCTAGCCTCAGGCCACCGTTCCGCTGTCAAGTCACGTGGGAGCACCTTGCTGAATACGGATTAGCTCTGTTCTCGGCCTTTGAGATTTCGGAGTCTTCAGAGTCCTAGGACGTAAAGGTTGCCAGTGCTGGGGCTGTTGATTGTCTTGCAAGGTTCAATTTACCAGTCAGTTTCTTTGAATATGCCTCCACGATTCCTCTTCCAGCCTTCCTTCAAGGCTTTTACTGGTAAGCCACAATCATAACCATCGTGTTGCGCCTGAGTTAATAACCGGCTATGCTAGGGTCTTCGCATGTTCAGAGCCCGCTTGCTGCATTGTCATTGAATCCTTCCAGGACATCTATTAGAGCGGGATCCGCAGAGACTAGGGAACGCCGCCGACATGATCCGTTTTTGACGGCACAGTCACGTCAACGCAAAGCCGCCAATCTGTCTCGTCAACAAGCTCTCGCCGAGGAACGCGAAAACTCTCTGGGCGATCCTGTGGAAAGTGCACCGACCCCATTCATCCAAGAGCTCAAAACGGTCAAGTCTGGGCCACAAGCCCCTTCAAACACAGATGCCAGGCTCAACTACTTCGTCACTCCCGAGGGACTCCAGGAGGCTTTGGAATATTCGAAAACCTTGACATCTCCCCTCGAGAACCCAGACAGGGACACTGCAGACCCTCAGCTTGAGAAGGAGGCATCCGAGAGGCATCTTCAGGAACATCGCAACGCTCAGGAGGCAATCAGCCGTATCGTGAAGATCAGTAATGGAAACACGCAAGATCAGATGCGCCTACACATCCAGAACTGCATTGAAACGTTTGGACGGCACAATACCGACAAGACCTTGCCGCCAAAGCCTGCAGCTGTATCGCATCAGTCTGCTACTGAACACCCCGAGAAAACTCCTCGAGTTGGCCAGGATACCGGTTCCCCGGAAGTCCAGGTTGCGATCCTTACTGCAAAGATTCTGAACTTGTCTAGACACTTGCAGACAACCAACAAAGATAAGCATAACAAAAGAAACTTGAGGCTCCTCGTGCATAAGCGACAGAAGTTGCTTCGGTACCTGCGTAGGAAGGAGCGGGGTGGCCCGCGATGGCAGCACTTGATCGAAACCTTGGGCCTGTCAGATGCTGCTTGGAAGGGTGAGATTAGCATGTAAGAGCTCGCGAGCGTTTTTATTGTCATGTTTTCATTTGTTCTTTATTATATTATTAAGTCAACATTGGCGTGTAACTATATGGCATCCATACCTTCCCTGTGTGCTGCAAGAGCTCGCTTGTTCGCCTGGTCTTTCTTGATGTTTCTTTATCTACAGACTCACCGTGTATAAGTATTACAATTCTACCTTCCAGGAAACTATTGAAGTGATTAAGCCATATGGCGGGTGTTATCGTGCATAAGCAATTTGCTCTCCCACGAGTGGGCCTTGTACTTGCATCAATAAGTCTTATCTATAGAAGAGGCCAGTAACACCTCACTTCAGCAATCTATACTAGCACGCTTTGTGTTCTTCTAGGACCACTATGCAAATTATATCTGGGCCAGAAGGAATTTGAATTTGACTTTACTGCTTCCAAGCCGATGCCAAAAGACAAAAAGTAAAGTAAAAAGGCCGAAGTCATTCAGAGTAAACTTGAATACTATCCATGGATTACAATCCTTCTGGTGTAGCAACCTCATTGGGTGGACAGCTGACCGCCTTATTATTTTGCCAGGGCGTGGGCCCAAGTTTTGAAATTCATTTGCGAAAGTTCTCTGGAATCCCAGTACCACCGCGTCATTTATGCCTCGGACTTGTTGAGCCAGGTAAGTGAATGTTAATTTTCTAACTGGGAGGGAGGCATCTCTTAGAAACACAATACAGTGTAAATAGAAGGCCCTCCCCACCTTTCTCTCATTGCCACATCTCCCTTCTTACTATCGATCCATTCAACTAATTCTACAGCACGCAAGCTGAAGCCCTTATTGAATCAAAATTGTTGAGCATCTTATCTCTTCATCTGCAAACCTCTATTGGTCTTGAAGAGGGAGCTACTCGCTTAGCTAGGCCACATAGTGAACCTTTTGTCGCGCTGAGCTTCGACTAAGCCACAGTCGCCCTCGGTCGGCAATCCGTCAAAATGCGAACTCGATCGCAGCAAGCATCGCCTGGCGGCTTTTTGTCCCTCGATGACAGTGCTCCTCGTCGGACAAGGTCTACTAGAAACACCTCGCAACCAACTGCGCAACCTTCAGCCTCTACCGAAACCACAACTCAACCAAAAAGTCAAGGCACGACCAAAAAGACCGCCAGAGTCGCAAAGACACAGACGAGAAAAGCCCCTCAGCGAGCGACAAGAAAGTCAACTCGCAAGACGGAGAATCAAACCGCCGACGGTAGTCAATATGAATCCCATAACAATGAAGAACGCGCCGAGACCGCGCCCCTGGACGACAAAGAAAACCTCACAAACGAGTCCCAGGACCCAGATTCTGTTACACTGGCAGATAGTACAGTTCTTTCTGAGCCGAAAAGCTCTTCCCTTACGCGTGAGTACCCCATGGACCCAAAATACCCCTAAACACACACCCCGCTCGGTCAGTGCTTTCCTGGAGTGCGCCACCAAACACCGTCGATTTCAGATGGTATCAATACCAGATCGACGATATCAGCGACAATAGGGTCACCACTATCTGAGCGGTCGAAGACACCGTCCGACAGTGGTGACATGCCGCTCTCCCATCCCCCCTTCGATAGAGCGGGGGGCGCTTTGGGGAGAGCCCTGCACCTCTGAGCCAGCTGTAGAAGCACTTGCAGAGTCTATCTACGGCGAACCTTACGGCATGGGAGGTCCGTTGGCGGAGGAGTTCGAACCAACTCGAGAATTGCGGTTGAGTGGCGGACCATGTTACTCAAGTGGTGGCCCCCAAGAGGATGTCGCCGAGAAATCGGCGGCCCTCTTGGTCGTACCAGGAAAGCGTTGACCGGTCCTACGAGAAACCCAAGCTGACCGACACAGTTAATAGGAAGAGGGCCCACGAGGAGACGAGCGACGAAGATCGGACAGCCCCCGTGACTCCTGCGGCAAACAAGCGCCGGAATCTGGGACCGCCAGGAAGTACCCCCTTTGCCAACCGGCGTACCCCCCTTTCGCGCCGGATCCAGACCAGGGCGGCCCCCTTCTCCGCAAGGCTTGCTCGTCGAGAAGCCGAAAAGCATGGCCGGATTGAATCGACACTCTTCCGCCTTCCCGACTATCTTCGTCAGCTAGAGGCCGACCGCCAGAAGGCTGAAAAAGCCCCTTCAAGTCCGAGCCCACAGCTTCCACAAACAACATTTGACTTTACGATGGAACCGAGCTTACCAACTAATCAAAGCTCAGCAGATGAGTCGTCTGTGCTTCAAGAACCATCGACGCCAGGGAGAAACACTCCAGAAACTCCCCAGCGTGGATGGAATCTACGTGGACTGCTCAGCTCTGTACCTCGTTCCTTCTCGCGATTACTGCCATTTGGTCGGCCTTCTGAAAGCTCGCAAGATCAATGTAAGCTCTCCCAACCTTCCCCCCTGTTTCTTGCTAACAAATCGTAGCGACATTCGAACCATCGTCAGAACGTATTACTCGCACAAGGTCTCTTGACCCTGAATCAGCTGGTCCTCAAACCGAAGGACGATCTCGCTGGCGTTTGAGTGAAGGGCCCTCGCAGCCTCCGAAGAAGCGTGCCCGTAACTTATCTTACTCACTTTTCCCGGCTCCCATTGACAGATCCCTTTACCTTGGTGACATACCTAAGCCCTCCACGGTGCGCCCAGAGGCGGCTGCCCCGGAATCGCACCGCACTGAACAGGCGCAGGTGCAGAAGCCTGAGCGTCAGCAGACTGCAGCATCAAGTGCCCAAGCTGAAGAACGGGAGACGTCTCAAGCGTCTAGCGATGCGGAGCAAAGGAAGCGCAAGCGGTCGCCATCGCCCGATGTGATTCCCAACCCAGCCGGATCTAGCTATGGATTGGACTTGGATTATTTCTGTTATAGCTCTGAAAGTGAAGATGAGGTGACAGAAACTCCATCTAAGCAGAGCGAACGCAAGAAAGTCGATGGCCTAGCAAAGTCTGTGGCCCGCAGTGCCCTCCGTACAGACAGACAGTCATCCAAAAAGGTGCGTTTTGATGCAAGCCCAGAAGACACTCCTTCTAAGCTTCGCTCGCGTGCTCGCTCCACTGATCCCTATCGCGGAACACACTTCGTTGGGATGGGTAATGATTCACCAACACCATCTGCTCGCACTGAGCAACCTTCTCCGCGGCATCCTGGGTTCGTCCCCAACACCCAAGGTACTTTTCAGCTCGACTATGACGCGGTCTTAGATGACTCGGAGACTACTGGTCTGTCCTCGTCAACAAATGTTACCGCCTCTAGCCCCTCCCAGGCCGTACGGGAAGAAGACGGGCGTGCTTCTGCACAGCATGAAGGCCATGATGCTCAATCTCCTGCATCTCGCCATACCTCTAGGGCTCATCCATCAACCCCAGGTAAAGTGGACGAGGAAGCTCTTGCAAGAGTGCGGTCCCAAGCAGAGAAATACAAGCCGAAGACTCCTAGTGGTCTCCGTACTGCAAGCCGATATGCTAGTCCATTGACCGCCACGCCCGATACTGTTGCCTCCGACCACACAACTAAGAAATCCGACTTGATTGCAAAGCCTGGTAAAGTCGACGAACCCGAAAACTTTGGTGATGATGAATTCGCTCGTGATGCGGAATGGCTTTATCAGAATTGTCCTTCTGGGGACCTCAGTCAACTTAAGTGGCCGGCCAGGCAAAGCTATGAAGAGAGCCTCGGTGTCAGTTCTACCTCCATGAAACTCCTTGCTACGATTTGGGACGACTCCGAGATTGAACCAGCGTACCTTGCTTTTCGTCAGAGTTTTGAGGAGTTCAAAAAGACTTTGAAATGAAGTCTTGACTATTATTGACCGGAACGATATCTGCTCTTCCCCCCTTATGTCGTTTATGTTTAAGTGGCTTTTTCTCCGACCTATTTAACCTGTCTGATTCGCCATGTTCCTCGTCCGAGGGATTTAGATGGGCCCAAAAGGGCCGTTCGGAGGATTTATTGCTAGCTTTGATAGCTGGAGTTTGGGTATACATATTTGTTGTGTCGACATCGCTAGCTGTGGTCTCTTTCAACCTATTGGATGAAGTTGTAGACCCTCTAGTTGATGACTTTCTGTCTTTGGGATCACGCTCGATGGTACTGGTTTCTATGGTATACCGGAGTTTTGTTGAATCATTTGTATCTGGAGCTATGCATGAGCATCGTGTTATTTGCGTTGATTCTCGCATTCAGGCGTCTCTTTTTTGACAAATGGGAATTGTTTGCATCTACAATACACTTGCATATTATTTTTTTTTAGAAACCTTTCAATTATCCAGTCTGCTTCTTTAAGGCTGCTACATCCCTGACCAAGACCATTACGCTTGAATACATCCACAGCTTGCCACTTGTCTTCATGTCTCGGGTAATTTTATAATGAGAGAACCTCCAAATGTCTCACAGCGGACGCTGACACTCAAGCTGAGCCTTTATTGCCTCTCAAGGCGTATTCTTACACCGTCGTCATGCAACAAGTACGCCCCTGTCTCACAATAGTGAGCCCAGATCGACCCTCAAACCCAGGCTCATAGAGAGCAGCCCTCTTAGAGGATAACATAAAACCACCTTCCCCCCCAAAAGCGACACTCTCCTCTCCATCTCACCCAACCTCGAAGGCATTCCCTATACGCCCTCTTCAAACGAACAACCTCAAACAAATAGAAAGGATGTGTTACTACCAACCCAACCAGCCGCACTGCACCTGCGATTTCCTTCAACTGATCCAACCATGCATCAAAGCTCAATACTACCCTTCACCAAACAACAACCCACAGCCCGTGATAGTCGCCTGCTGCAACCGGTTCATTCTGACTGACATTGCCCCACGGTGCTGCCAACTGTGCAGTAGCCAGCTGCCACGACTCGGGCAGATGAGTCAGGCAGACAATCGAGACATGTCTCATTTGGACATAGGAAATGGGCTCCCGGGCGTGTGCAACACAACTGTCGTTGTTTTACCGCCGCTTTCTTCGTTTGCAACTGCTCCCTCTACTTCGCGCATGCCTGGTCCCTTCGAGGGGTTTCAGCGATCTGATCAGAGCATGTCTGGTGAGAATTCGGTCGTGCGTGAACGTGTACCATCCTCTGGTCTTCCGTTGTTGTTGCCAGCGCCGCCGAGGAGTATGCTTGATGTGGACCCGTCGCCAGTGGTGAGGATGCAGGGAGCGGGTACTAAGCGGCATTTGAATAACGAGACATGACAGGACAGGTGAATGGTGTGGTCGTCATAGTGGGTTATAGATCAGGGTTATCGAGGACGTGGACAGCTGAATTGAGCTTGGAGGGCAGTCCTAATCGAGCGATGGTATGGTAAAATGATACATGATGTGAGCATTCAGAGGTCATAGATATTAACTAAGTCCATGATGGAAGGAATGCCCTATATGTTCAAGAATCTACATTTACTATACATGTAGGTTGATCATTCTGTTCGATCACGGCGCTATGAGATATAGATTCAGACGTCATATATATCCAAAGCAAACAAAGAGGTATCTCTGTAACTTTTCTTAATCAAAACCTTCAAACTCTTCCTCATCCTTGCCAGAATTTGCTGCCTCGGCCTTTCCTGCGCGTCTAAGTCGCCTCTCTTCTTCGTTCTTTGCTCTTATACCTTCCACCATTTGCTCCGTCTCCCGCACCTTCTGCCGCTCTTCTTCAGTCATCTTCTCCCACCTATTCTTCTCCTGTCGTCGTTGCTTTTGCTCTCGTCGCTTTTGCTTTTTATTTCTATCCTCGAGCTTATTGCTCCATGCGGTGGTCTCGTTGGCCTTTCTCTTGTTAGAGGTTTTTTGTGTACCGTCTGCTTTGCTCTCCTGAAGCAATTCTATGCGGCGTTTCTCTCGTTGTTTGTCTTTGTATTTATAGTCATCCCAATTCAGATTGACACCGAGCGTCCGGTCACCAGTAAAGTTCCTCAACTCGGGCATTTTGGGTAGCTTCAGCAGACCCCATGCCTTCCCTAAACCCTCCCAATCAAGATCAGCGACACGGAAAATGCTGCTCGCCTGGTGTTTGCTATAGCTTCTTAGCCAACTGACAAACGCCTTTTGCCCACGATCGTGGAGTGCACGGTCCGCCAGCACAGCCTTGCGGGCCGCATTCGTAGCTGCAGTGGCTTCGGAATCTGAGAAGGAGATGGAATGTGGGAAAGGAGCTACTGGAGTCTTGCGAACGTCGAGGAAAGATACATAGTCTTCCTCCCGTCCTGGATGCAACAAGACTACACTTAGCCCCCTTCGGCCGGCTCTACCAGCACGGCCGCATCTATGAATAAACGTTTTAGGATCCGATGGAGGATCTATCTGGACAACGAGGTCAACAGACGGGATATCCAAACCACGAGAAGCGACATCCGTTGTTAGTAGAATTGCTGGGCTGTATGAATTCACAAATCGGTTGAAGTTCTTTTCACGGACGTTCGCCGGGTGCTTTCCATGTAGTGGAATCAGCTGGAAATCATCACCAAGTATTAATGGTAAGATCGCAGAGAGATAATCAACTCCTGAGCAGGTTGAGGCGAAAAATATGGTTTTCTGGGGAGCTGGATCAACGGAATGGAGAATTTGCTTCAAGGCGGGAAATTTGTGAATCGTGGGTGTCGTAAGGTATGTCATTTGTAAGCTTGCAGGCGTTCGCTTGTCCTGGGCACCTGAAGTTCCTTTGACCTTAACCATGACCTTGACAGGATTACGCAGACCAACCCGCACAATTTGATCAACGGCTTCACTGATACTTGCGCTAAACAATCCCGTTCGCCTTTGTTTAGGTAACCGGCGTATGATGTTCTGCAGAGTTTCTTTGAACCCAAGATCCAGAAGTCTGTCTGCCTCGTCCAAGACGAGCATCTCAAACGAAGATTGGGGACAGTGGACATGAGGTGAAGAGAGCAGTTCCAACAAACGTCCAGGTGTGGAGATGAGCAGATTTGGTGATTGCTTCAAGAATTTGCTTAGGTCTTCTGCTGGCGTGGTAGAGCCTCCGAGAAGGAGCTGGGGAACAACCTTGAGGGTAGAGGATGGGAATTTTTGCCGGGGAACGTCATCGTCTTCTGAAGGGTTAATGACGGAGGCAGATGGAGGATGGAATGCGAGTAATGAGAGTAGCACATGGTAGATCTGTGATGCAAGTTCCCTGTACTTGTAGTCAGTATGCTTGTGCTTTTCTTTTCTAAGCAAAGACTATAGCTACCTCGTCGGGGAAATGATGATCGCGCCAACGTGATGTTTTTTGATAGGTTCTTCAAGACGTAGAAGTTTCTCCACAATGGGAATTAAGAAAGATAAAGTCTTTCCACTTCCAGTAACGGCCTCAACTACAACATCTTTGTGGGCCATGAATAGAGGAATAGCGGACGCCTGCACGGGCGTCATCCGCGTGAAGCCCATAGACGAAACGGCTTCCAGCACCCATTCCGACAGAGAAGGTGAGACACCATCCCAGGCTCTAGAAGATGTACCAGCTGGCGGTTTTGGGGCCATCTTGACAGCCTGGCGAAGGATTGACCCCCTGATGAGTCTATTATCAACAGATTATTTGACCGAGGGAACTTCCGTCGCCCATACATCCATATTAAAAAAAATCTAGAAAAAAGGCCTTATCAGTTACTGATTAGATATCGTGGGCGGTGAGTCTTTCTGCCCATTCACACGTGACACTATACGGATTTGGCGGAAGGTTCGGCGAATTATTTCTGTCGACACGACGACAAGAAACCAGAAAAAATCGGTGGTAGGCTGTCGGCGGCAGGCTTATACCCTTCGGATACTCCGTCATACTTGTCCTTTTGTGGTTCCCTGGCTGTGTCGATCTTTAGCTGAGACCATAACGTTATGTGTGGCAGTGTTACTCGTTTGCGCATCACTCGACATCAATAATTTATCTTTAACTTTTGTGTATATAGTCGCCCACCATTGCATCGTTAGAAGCAGGCTATTTCTCCATCCCCGGCATTTCTGCCTGCAATTATTCCTCTCCAACTCAGCGACCCTTGTCTGGGTTAATTCAATCTCCGATTCTTCCGCCGTTTGGCCTACGAGCAGTCAATATGTCTTCCCAAGATGCGATCCCGGTGACTCCTCGAGTCATATCTCCTTCGCCTGCACCTTCAGAAAGCAGGTCGCGATCCAGGGACGGATACTCTGCCCCCACAACTCGCTCTGCAGCGCGACGACAGCGACTAGTAGATGTATCGGAGGAAAGCAATAATGAGCGGGAGTCGGGATCAAGACGCTCGCGGACTCGTTCTGGGAGTCCGACTGGTCCTGCGGGATCAACTAGACAAAGGAAGCGGAAATCCAACCCGATGCAGCCTGCAACAAGCCCCGAGAAACAAACAAACGGCGGAGCAAAGCCCAACGGATTCTTATCGCCGTTTGGGAAGGCTGACGGTATCGCGCCTAGCATCTCCCGGTCCCCCTCCCCTATGGGGCTTATTCCTCTTCATACACGCTATCGCAATTTTATCCATCGGCATGAAATACCGCGCAAGGCCCTCCACGTGTCAATCGGCTTCTTTACTCTTCACCTGTACAGCCGTGGCATCCAAACAACCCAAATCACTCCCTGGTTGTTCGGGGCCCTAGTACCAATAGCCGCAGTGGATATAGTTCGTCACCGCTCGGAGACAATCAATAAGCTTTACATTCGCTGCGTCGGAGCGCTCATGCGGGAGACCGAAGTAAAAGGGTACAATGGCGTGATCTGGTATCTGCTCGGCGCATATGCGGTCTTGCGCTTTTTCCCCAAGGATGTAGGAGTCATGGGTGTACTGCTCCTCAGTTGGTGCGACACCGCAGCTTCTACCTTCGGTCGTCTCTACGGCCGGCACACATTCCAGCTGCGCGCAGGCAAGAGCTTTGCTGGAACCGTGAGCGCGTGGCTCGTTGGAGTAGTCACTGCCGCTGCGTTCTGGGGCCTCTTCGTACCCAACGTCGGTCCTTTCCCCAACGACCCAGAGAACGCATTCATGTTCACCGGCCGTCTCAATCTCGTACCAGACACAGTCAAGAATCTTATCGGCTGGACAGCGGACACTGTTATCTCAGGGCCCTTGGCCCTCGGCGTCATGAGCGTTGTCTCTGGCCTGGTAGCAGCCGGCAGTGAGTTCGTGGACCTTTTCGGCTGGGATGATAATTTCACCATCCCCATCCTGAGTGGAATAGGCTTATGGGGCTTTTTGAAGGTTTTTGGTTGAATATTTGAAGGATACCATCACCGGCGTTTGTTTTTGGCTTCCCTTTCTGTCTGCATACCGTACTTTATCTTGTATCGATTAAGGGTCTAGAATCGGATGGGCAGCGAAAAGGTGTTACCTTTTTTTTGTTTCATACTGCGAATTTCTTGTTTTTTGAACGAGTCCAGTTGTCTATACTTATCTCTCTTCCCTTGTCTGCTTTTCTTCTTTCACCTGTTTCTTTCCACTCTTGTTATACCACTGGAAGCTAGCGCCAGCGCCTCTTATTCTGCCAAATACCGACGAAGATCCTCTGCTTTGCGTTATAGATAGAAGAGAACTACCTTTGACTAGAGAATTCGATGGCTCCGCAGCTTCTAGCAGCACTGCGGGTCTGGGTGTTATGTTCCGATTCTGGGTTCATTTCTGTTTTGTTTATCTTGGTATGATTGTGTATCCATGTATGTACTTAATCTAGCTAGATATCAGAAGGATGATGTAGTACTTAATATTGAATACGTGAAAGAACAGAATAATGCTTTAACAAACCAGAAGCCCTAGTTCCACCAACGCCTGAAGAACGCTCAAGAACGGGAGAAGAGGGACAAGGAAATACAAATTCATGAGTCCAAGGCACGCAAACAAGTTAGAAATATCGGTTCAACTAAGGTCCAAAATGCTCACGCGTGGGAGTCGTTTCTTGCCTCTGCGACTTCTTAAACTCTCATTCGTGGTGTTCTTGTCAACTTCAGATTTTGATTCATCTGAGGCCATCCCAGCTTCTGGAGTTGTGTCTAGTGTCCAGTACCCATCGGAAACCACGACAGATTCTGCATAAGAACTGGCTGTGTTAGTTTCGTTCTTTAGATATCTTGAATTGTTTGTCTTTGTTTCCGGCTTTGCAGGCTCCGAAGTGTCCTTCTTGCATGCCTTTGGTGGTGTGGTAAGGGTCTCCACCTTGCTTTTCCTTTGCGTTGTACGCTTTCCAAAAGCTATTTTCTCCAGAATATCCGGGACATTAGACGGCCTAACTTCTTCCAAATCTATCGGGCCACCATCTGGCCGAGATTTGGGGATAATCCAATCATAATGTGGCTTTTTAATCTCTGGCTTTTGCAGATGCCGCTTAGCATCAGGTATGGCAATCTTCGATGAATGTGATCGTTCTTTGGCAGATCCATGTGGTTTACTATCGTCCAAAAGCAACGACGACATGTCTTGCTCCAGTTTCTGGACCCCTTGAGAGCTCTGAGATTTGAATATGCTTTGATCGGGCTTTGCCCTGTTGCAGTACTTCGCATGTATAGAGGGAACATGCTCCATATTGTCTGTTATGGTCATGTCATTATAGCTAACATTGGAATAGCTTATACGGATTCTCCCTGGAGATGAAGAAGGTGGGGAGTATTCCAAAGACTCTGAAACTTCCAAAGCCTCTACCTCAGAGTCGCCCGACAGGACTGCCTCACGTCTACCTCTGAGAGGGGGCCGAGTAGTCACTGGATGCCGTTTGATGCCCACGTTAGGTGATATATTGCATAAAGAGAACATATTGGTTAGATTATCAAAATATTCGTCTCGGTTGTAAGCGGCCGTTTGCTGTTGGTAATACGGGCCTTGGCTAGGCAATTCTCTGGAAGCGCTCAGGGGGCCTTGCACATTCGATGCACTGTGTTTTTTCGGCGTCGACGTTGATGATATTGCTGCTTCAAAGAGCTGCGCCTGTTTTATTTGCGTGATCTCGGATCTTTCTTTGGTGAGAGTACCATATTTCAGGATACTTCCTCGCTTCATGCCTGGGTCTATTGGTCCCTTCTTCTTTGGCCCTGTCTTCCTAGTGCTTGACTTCTTAGGAGCAGAGGCCTTCTCAGACTCTTCCTGCTTCCAACTTTGCACAACTTCTGGGATTCCAATCGTAGCCAACGTTTCAAACACCCAAATTTTCTCTGAGGAATAAGGATCAAACCGCTTCGTGGCACGTTTCTTAGCCGGTGACTGCGGAGCAGGCTCAACATTAACTTCTACATCCTCCTCCTCATCGCCCGAAGCCGCCGTCTCTTGCGGAGGAAGTGGAGGATTAGGTTCCTCAGCGAGCAGATCTAAGCCAACAATATCAATAGGAACAAAATCAAGTTGCAGCTCCGTTAATCCATCTGTGCTGAAACTCGTCCTGCTCTTATAAACTTTCTGGAGCATTGGCACATCGTTTTCAGATAACCTGAAAGGAAACGCTGTCAAGTCCTTCCGGAGACGAAGTCGGTAAGAAACGAGAGGTTCGGCAAGTAACCTTATCACTTTCCTTGCCCCAGAGCGATAGTTCCACTCGAAAGTATCCGCAGCAAATCTTCTTAATTCGAAAGCATCAATTTCCCGGTCCCAGGCAGTCTCCAAGCGGCGTTGTAAAACTTCAAGATCGTTCGAAGTTGATACTATAGGTTTGGCATAATACGACAAGACTGTCCTGTCTGGAAAGCTTTCCGGAATTCGAACAGCTTTGTGTTTGGTCTGAAAATACCCACTTTCGTTGACCTCAAGCTCATACTGGAGCCTTTCTCTCCATTCGTTCAGCTTCGTATTGAGCTCAGTTCCTTCTGAGTTGAGAATTTCCAAAAGATCCTCCCCGAAACCCGCTCTTGCAATTTCTGCAGCGAGCTTGCTACCACACTTCGGAACTCCGGATGGCAGGTAATCGCCCCCGCTTAACATAGCAAATAAGATCATGCCAGCACGGTCCAGTCTTGAGCATGAGGATGAGTTAAGGTTTCCCATTTCATAGCAGGTAACGTGCGTTGCGGCAGACGTGCCACTCCCGCTTTCCTTGGAGTAATTCATAATGGTCAACTTTGACCCAAACATGAGAGCATCAACATCGTTGCTCATAACCGCATCGACGACACCTGCCGTCTGTAGCCTGGCACACTCCGCCTCTGCCTCCCCCGGCGCATCATGACGAGGAAATCTGAACAGATCGACCAAGATCTTGGAAAGCCCAATGATGGGTGCACTTCCATAACTACTTCCCGTAGCTTTGCCTCTCTTGAAGGGTGGTTTATGTTTCCCGTCATAGACAAACAACGGGTGAACAGGAAGGGCTAAAAATTTCAGCAACCTGTAGAACAGAGCCCGTAGCTCCGGATTTTTGCCGCCACGACCTGCCTGCACCTGGAATAACCATATTGAGACATCCACTGCAACACGAATAGGCCTTGCTGTTCGCTCTAGGTGGGTTATTGCTAGCTTTGAAAGAGATATGCGCTCTCCAGGCCCAATTGCATTGATGAGTCTAGTTTGTGTCAGCTAATGCTCAAAATTTAGACCCGTAAAGAAAGCAGTCGAGAATGATATTTATATATTTTGATGGTTTTTCTGTGAACTGACTGAAATGATTTCACTTACCCTGGAATCCCCATTAGGCCGGATTCAAAATTACAAACGAAAAACAACACCAAAACACCCAATTTGCAGTATCCCCGACGGTATAGACGTGGAGGGTTCTGTATCTTGTATGTATGAGAGTTGTTTGTTGACGTCGGGGGGCGCGCGACGGTCCGATGTAGATCCGTGCTCACTAAAGTCGTGGTGGCCGTTGCACTTTCCGTATCTTTGCTCTTGACAGTTTGAAATTCCGGCGAAGTAAAATTAATACGATCGCTTGATTTGTTTCTGAGAGTTCAATCATGAATTGGATTCTTTGAACCTGGAAAATTAAAGCATGATTCGCGCCTACCGACCGATTCTCCACCCCTGATCCATCCCCGCAATCTGAAGTGAACGCAAATACCACAGTATAGATCACGAAGAAATGACGAGCGGCTCTACGGCTTACAACCTTGATGATAGGAGCACAAGTGTCTCCATGAGCTTGCGACATAGCCAGTCCGGCCGACCTTCTACGCCTCAGCATCACCTGCGCTCTAATAACTCCTCCTTCGCAAGCACCTCATCGGCAAGCTCGTTGCGCGGGGAAGAGGATGCGATAGTTTTTGAATTTGGCTCCAGATGGCTTCGGGCTGGATTTGAGGGCGACAGCACACCTACGTGTGTGGTCGGGTGTGGACCGGAAGACTCAAGGAGGGCCGGCGATTACAGAGGATGGCTGAAAGCTAGCCTGAACGCGGATACATTACGCCCACAGCCAGTAAAAGCAGAAGAGTGGACAGGCGCATATGAATTATGGAAGATGGACGTGCGTGATGTCGACTTGGGTCTTGTCGAAGACAAAATCGAGCGGATGTTCCGGGAGACATACAATAAATACCTCTTGACGGATGCGGGAACTGCGAGATTGGTACTCGTTGTCCCGTCAATTATGCCACATCCACTGCTGTCTTCCGTCTTGTCGACGCTGTTCAGTCGATGGCGCTTTCCTAGTATCACGCTCCTTCCGAGCCCCACAATGGCGGTGGCTGCAGCTGGCTTGCGTTCGGCGTTGGTGGTAGACCTTGGATGGGCGGAAACAACGGTAACTGGAATATATGAGTATAGAGAGATTGCTACCAAGGGGAGTACAAGGGCCATGAAGTCTTTACTTCAGGAGACAGGCAGGTTTCTCACTCGCCTGTCCTCAAACAGTAATGGGGATGCAGATGAGATCTCCGTGAATTTTGAGTACTGTGAAGAAGTTGCTAGCCGGTTTCTGTGGTGTAAGCCTCAGGCAGGTGATCACGGATCATCTGCTACGTCGCAATTGACTGACCCTCAAGAAGGAGACAGTGGGCCCACAGAAGAAGACATCGCCAGTCTTTTGCACAAAACTGTGTCAATCCCATCTCCATCAAACCCCAGCTCGAACTACATGGATATACCCTTCTCTAAACTTTCAGAGCCGGTGGAGAAGGTCCTTTTTGCTAAAGGCGTAGCGGATTGTGACTTGGATGACGAAGAAAAGCCGGTTGCTTTGCTGGTGTACAACACGCTCCTACAATTACCGCCCGATGTCCGCGGCATCTGTATGTCACGGATAGTGTTCGTCGGTGGAGGAGCTAACATCCCGGGTGTTCGACAACGAGTCCTTGCTGAAGTATCGTCCCTTATTGATCAACATGGCTGGAGTCCTGTACGTGGTAAAGTTATTGAGCAACAAAGACAAATGCTTCAAATTTTGCGTCTCAATGAACGCCAGACATCGGTTAACAACGCTAACGACTCCACACCACCGTCACCTAAAACTTCCGTTGGGAAGGGTGACCAAGAAAAACGGGCTACTGAAGAAGAGGAGATTGATCCGGTCGAGGAGAAGCTCCGCCGGTCTAGAGACAAGGATACCAAGCCTGCGGTTCAAGGAGTTCTGCGCGAAGTCGAATCTCTTGGGCCTTGGGCTGGAGCTAGTCTTGTGGCGAGCCTTAAGATAAGGTCTCTGGTAGAAATTGAGCGGGAGAAGTTTCTTCAGCATGGCCTTACTGGTGCTAGCCGTGACTTTGATACCCATGGCCATGTCCCTGATCGACGGTCAGGGCTACGATCTGGTGGAGACCGGTCGAGCTGGACTCTAGCAGGATGGGGATGAATATGCACTACCCAAGGAAGTGTGTATTGGGCTGTATAGCGTTGAAAATTGGTTGCGATACAGCTGGTAGCATATTGTTCACTTGCTGTTTCATTTTGATGAATTCCTCTAAATGACTGGACTTAGACACGATACCCTGAAACTCAGCATTTCATTTACAATTAATATTACGGTTTTAGAGCACTAAGCACTAGGGTCTACGATGCATTTTGATTTTCTTAATAATCAATCACATTATTTACCCGACGGTAGTAAAATGTACATACAACACGATGAGGTTGAGAACCACCCAAAAATTAGAGCCATCAAGCCATTAGATAACCACAACTGTGGCGTGGCTAGTTTAGACAGTACCAAACTTATACGTAGCCCAGTTGACTGCTGGAGCTCCGGTGGGGGAATAGATTTGGTCTGACAGTTGACCCCACTCAGGATTATTGATTCCATCAATCCAACCTTCGGTCTCGATAACGATGCACCCATACTTGTTAACGGCCTTTGCGCCCTCGATACCTTCTTCCTTGTTCCGCTTAGCCTGGGACGGCTTGATGGCAATGTTACCCTTCTGACCAACGCAGGAGTAAATCTGAACAGCCTGTTGGTTTGAAGCCACCTCCATACTGATTCCGGTTGTGCTGGAGTTCATACGGACAACTGGCACCATAGAGTTGCTTGAGCCATATGCGTTGTCGCGATCCACGATGAAACAGTTGTCATAGCCTGTGCAATCCGTTCCACACAGTCCTGCTGCTTTCTCGATGTCCTTGCCCACAAGCTTTCCAGTGGTGAAGTCCGCTGCTCCGTCGTACGAGTCGACGCCCAGGATGGTTCCGTTGGGAATTAGGATGCCGTCCGTACCGACGAGCCGCTTGGATAGCGGTAGTTGGAGGAAGGTGTCATTCAGCACATTGGTCTCCTTGAACGCGTTGAGATTCCAGTAGATATGGTTGGCAGTCATGATGGGAGTCTTCTCCGTCAGGGCCAACGAGATTAATTTGGTGGTCAACTGCGGCAGACCCTTGGGGTTCTCGGCAGTGACATCAGAATCAACGCTGAATACGGCGTGAGTGATGACATCTCCAGGGAAGCCCTCCAGCGCGCGGTCAAGCAGAGTAAAAGTGATGGAAGAATCAGATTGAGCTGTGACAGTCCAGTTGCGCTGATCATAACCGACATCGCTCCATGCAATGTGTCGGTGCCGTTGTTTTCATTCTTAGGGATTTCGTACTTGTCTCCATCTATTTGGAAGGTGCCGTTTTTGATGCGGTTGGCATAACGGCCGACAACAGCGCCGAAGAATGTGTGGTCGGTCTCAGTGTCTTTCAAATAATCCTTAGGGTCATCATAGCCGACGACTACATCTTGTTCGTTGCCATCGCGGTCCGGCACGAGTAGAGAAGTCAGACGCGCTCCATATGGAATCAACTTGGCGGTGATATTCTCCGCAGTGATGGTGTAGACTTTGAATGGATCTACAGCAGGCGAATTTGAAGTAGACGATGCGGCCGCATCTAGAGCCAGCGCCGGTAGCCCATAAAGGGCAGCAGACAAATATGATTTAAGATGCATTCTGATTCCCAAAAGCAGTGTAACAGTTAGGAAGATGAAGCAATACACCGACAGGAGACGAAGGGTGATCCGAGCAGGGCAGAGCAAGGAGCGCAAGCAGCCAAGGAGATGGGAGAATCCTTGGTAAGATTTAAAGGCGTGAATCATACTACTATTTATCCTCTTCCTACCTCATGATGGCGCCTGACCAGCGGGCGGGGGTACCAAAGCACAGCAGCAGCGGAACTGGGGTAAAATTCAATTTCCCCGTGTTGTTGGTTGGACTGGATTGTTTGTAATTATCCGGGCAAATTATAGGAGGCAAATCCACGGATGCGTTAGTTGGGCAGGGTCAATGCTAGTGCATTAGACCGCGTAACTGCCAACAAGCTCTGTGCCGTCGACGGATTCAGTATGGCGGGCTGTCGAAGTATGCGTCTGTCCACCACTTGATCGATGATCCCTGACTTCGATGAGCCAATTGCGAGAGTAGTTGATGTATCCAGTGACGACAGGTACTGTAATCATATAGTACTCGGTATTATGTGGCACACCTGGTGGTCTAGTGCTCAGTCCCTCTCCGCTGTAGTGAATACTAGATAGTAATGATGGGGAACTTCGAAAAGAGACGCGGGAAGGCGTTCAGTAGTCCGTCCACAGGGGTCAACCATGAAAGCCACGGAAATGAGGCAACTGGCCTAGTCCGAAACAAGAACTTTCCGGTGGGGGGACAAATTAAGAGGATGCGGGGAAGGAAAGCGGCCTGTCGATCGCTCGTCTTAACTTCTGTTTGTCTGATGCCAAGCTACCAAAGAAACCACCGCGTGGGTGAGAATGGCTACCTAGTGGTTATGCATGTAGCATGGCTGGGCGCCATCCAGAAATTACCACACGTTACACATTCCTTAACACATATGGGATCATGATAGTGTAAGTGCTACAGTCCATCACATCGCATTCGCAAGGGTAGAGTCCGGCAGGTAAGCCTGCATCTTGGGCTCTTTTACCATCCCGTAACTTGATAACCTGACTTATCGATATGGAACAACATTTATCCGCTTACATAATTCGAGCGCGCCCCCCTCAACCTCTTAGCGGCAAAGCAAATCGGGCCGGACCCTCGGCCTGCCTGATCGGGAGACTTGTTTATGTTATGCTCTGCGGTTGCTCTGCTTCCCCGCGATTATCGGCTTATCATCATCATTCCTATAGAAGTCCAGACCTCTTGCAGGTAGCCCTGCTACTAAAACGATGGAAAATTTTGTATAATTGCAACGTTCTTCGAGAAATCCGTTAACCTGTCCCTTGCCTGATGAAACGCGACTGGGGTCGAGAGACATCCCAGATCCTATCGCTTGTTGCATGTCGTTATGTCCTTCCGTAGCTCTAGCTCCTCACCGGACATTCTTGGGCCACCTGGCGACGTCGAGTATTTGGTTTCCTCCCCGTTCAAACCGTTCTCCGGGCGCCAAAGCGTCATGTCGCCTGCAAATTTCAAACTCCTTCAGACGCCGCGCTTCGCCAAAAGCAGAAGGCGCATCAGCCTGAGTCCTACAAAAAGTTCGCATTCTATTCGCTTCGACGATGTGGTGCTCCCCGGGTCTCCGTCAAGGACAATGAACGGTCGGCAAAAGCCCCTTTCCCCTGAAAAGGTGCAGCCCGACGGGAATGTGAGTCCGTGGAGGATTCGAGTGACATTGGAGGCAACGCAAGACGAGGAAATGGACCAAGGCAGTCCTTCGCGCAAACGCCCCCGGAATTCTACCATGACAACCAAAGTGCCGCTGAAGGATGAAGCAGACACCATGGAGCAGACCCCCAAGAAACGCCGCGGGCGCCCGAGGAAGTCAGACATAACGGTGCAAAGTACGACTCCGAATGGGGGGAGCCCTGGTCATACTCCTGGCCCGGGAGGCGCAAGTGTGCAAAAGAGGAAGCGAGGCAGACCTAAGAAATATCTTCCGGCGCAGGATCCCGTAGACAACGTTGGCGCGCAGGTGGCAAACAGTCAGATAGCTGAGCCATCCGTTGTCGAACCCGAGCCAAGTTGGGCTCCCCTGAACCTTGCTGCAGATGGGGAATCTGACGATGGCTTGCCGGATGATCAAGGCTATGCGGAACCCTTCGAGGGTGACGTTCAGATGGAGCAACTTGATGATAGCCCGCAGGATCAGAGTCCTCAAGTTGAAGATGAACGTACCTATGATACGCCAAATGTCGATTATATGGATGATGCCTATATGCAGAATGACGAGAATATACATTCAACACCATCAAAGATGCCTTCCCCTTCTCGGGAGAGCCAAATTATCTCTCCAGACAACACCATATACGCTGGTCGTACACCTAGGCCGCCTCGTCTCTACCCCACCCCAACATCCTCATCATTAGTAGATGAGGAAAGACAAGACCGAGAGGCGCAAAGCTCAGTTTCGCGTAACCGCTTCAGCGAAAGCGGAGTTTATGCTACAAACGACCCTACTGATGAACACAGAGAATTTGATTCTATAATGGAGAGTGAAGGGTTTAGCATGGTTTCACTGGATACATTACCATCGGCTAAACAACATGGACTCAGCGCCAACTCTCAAGTGGCAAAGGGCGCCTTAAAGCCGTTTCTGGAGCGAGAAAATAACGGTGTTTTGAGGCGGAAATCCTCCATCCGAAATCAGGCCAATGAAGAAGATACTGGTCTTATAACACAAGCTGAACCATCGACTTTGGCACAAGAGAAGGGTGCTGTGGACTACAGGCCCGCTAGGACATATTCTCCACCCACTTCTCCAGCCCCTGTTCCGGTTCAAACCTCTACTGGACGGCAGCGACGGCCGATAGCTAGGTTCGTGAGGTTAGTCCGTGTGGGTATTGCTCTCGAGAGCGCTCTAAGGCGTCCGTACGACAGGGGATATACCGAGGGTCTTCTGTCAAGTCCGGAGATACGTGAGTCGCAAGACCAGATATCCAGCTTAGAGACTTCTAGGAAACGATTAGAGCTGCTGTTCAGCGACTTCGATTCAGAAATACAACGTGACTTACAGTCGGCCTTGAAATTTGGCCAAGAGATCGCGAAGCGACGAGTGCAGGCAGAGATCGAGAACGCAAGGAAAGTCTCTGGGTTGGAAACTATCGCAGAAACCACGCCAAAAGGCCTGAGTGAAGCAAGCGGGTCTCGGGAGCCATCGCGGGAGCCTGGTGGATTACGCGACTACGATACACCAGGCTCAGAGATGAGGCGCCGGATGGAAGAATGGCAACGGGAAAGAGAAGCTATTAGCCGCGAAATTCAGATGGCCAACTCAAGCCAAGTCATTGTCATTGACAGTGATGTGAGTGGCCCCCCGAGCCCTGAGGGTGGCATAGCTGCTCCTGAAGCTGATGAAGAGCCTGAGTGGGGCTCTGACATCGACCGTGGAGACGCAGATGCGCCATCAGTACATGGCAAACCTGAAGATGATCACTTTAGTGAGCAAGAGGAGGAAGACGAAGATGATGGGTACGAAGATATCTGGCAACAAGAAGCTAATGATAGAGGCGATCTTTCGGACCACTCATCTATTTCGTATCGTCATCAAAACCTGGACAACAACAAGGAGGGGTCTAGTCCTCAATCAAATAGCTCGATATCTGAACGGAGTGCTGTCGGTAATTCTTATTCTCCAGCCTACTGGACCAATGCTCACGACAAGGTGCCATTTCTGGGCAAGTCGCGAATTAAAGAGCTACGAGAACAGGATGTTGATATTTCCGCTTTGTTGCGCCCAGGGGCTACCCCGAAACGCTCGCATTACTACTACGGGCAGAGCAGCCCCCCAAGTACAGAAAACGGGCGAGATGCCCAGCAGCCACAGTCAGCCGCAGGGTCCGAAAGCGAGGAGGCAATGGAGGATGAATACGAGGAAGAAGAAATGCAGGGAGCGATGCAGGATGAGGAGCATCACCTATTTGAAGAACCTCCGCAGTCAGAGGATTATCTGGCGTCAAGTCCCCAGAGAGGCCCAGGGGAAGAGACGTTCCAATTGGACCCAACTACGAATTTTGAAAATGCAAGACAACACTCGGATTTGTGGCTACAAGGGCATGGCGACCAGAACCCTTCAGATGTAGTTTCGCCTGAACCACAAACCGCTCACGAGACACCTGTCCTCACCCCCGACGTCCGCAACCCTCCGCTACCGGACAACAAGCATCATCCTGGCTCCAAAAGATTACTAATCTTACGCCTCAGTGGCTGAGAGTACCAAAAAGAAAATCAATCGAGGAGCCTGCTCTATCTGTATATGACGAAGCTTCGGAGGACGAAGATGATTACGGGTCTCACTCGAGAAACGTGGAAGAAAACTACATGGAGGAAACGCCAAGGCCGCATCGGGGCCATGAACAACAGAGCTTTTCTAGCGCGTTAGACGACAAGTCGCCAAATGTAAAAGCAAAAGACGATACGTATGATCGCCCTTTGCCGTTGGCTGTCTCTGGATATTTCTCTGACGATCACTACATCCTCCTCCGTCGGCTTTATCGCCTGGCCAAAAGACACCCGGAACGTTTCCTTTACTACCCTGGTCCAGGGCGTTCGGAAATCATTGGTGATTGGATATGGACGTCAGACGGCTTACATGGGGTTCCCATCACGGAACGCCAGTTTGCGATTATTGACAGGTTCGTGCAGGAGTTGGCAAAGGCCGACCTACAGGCCGGTGGAACAGGCCAAGTTGGCTGGACAGAAGCCGACTTGCATCGAAGACTGATCAGCGTGATTATTGGCGAACAGATTCGGGAAGAGATGAAAGCACGACTGCACGCCGAACAATCAACAGCGGGGCATTCGAGAAGAAGTCGTGCCCCTACCAGTTCGTGGTACTGACGACTGCCCAAATCAGCGAATATATTTCTTTTTCTTGGTTTCTTTTCCTGGATTCAGCGTCCAGTTGGGTGACGATTGGCTCTTGCTTTTGTGTAACGAATGAAGCCTCGTTTCTTGGGTGTTGCTTGCAGAGAATTTTCGGGACTACACGGGTTGGCGAGCGAATGGGTGGATACTTTGTCGTTGAATCACTGGCTCGCATTTGATTTTGGCTTCTCAGTTTTTTTTGTTTGTGATGGCATTTGGATTGTTTAAGATTCCCCCTAAGTTTCTTTTGTCTATAAGTGATTTTGTTGGTGTACAAGAGTCAGCTGCTTGAAGAGTTTCAACCTTGTGCTGGGATTTATGTCCTTTCCTGGACTACGATCGCATGTTTGGCTCATGAAACCTGTAGGGCTTATATCTCTTTCTTCGCATGGGGTTCACAGTCTTCAAAGGGCCCTTCCTATTTACGCTTACGCTGCTCTTTTTGTCTCCTTTGGCTGGCCACGTTTACTTTGGAGATCTGCGTGCTAGGTATAGTACATATGTCGGGAAAGTCGCACGGCAATGATGAAAAACCATGTATGAACATCTGTGATGCTGTATATTTCGCTGGCAACTGGTACATATGAGTTATCCAATTTCGGGGGTTTGGACGGTGATGATTTGCTCAACACCATTCCCGGCCGCCCCCCTTACTCAGGCAAAGTTTGATCGCCACGTTTCCTATCCCAAGGATGTGGTTTCTTATTTTGCAGCGCATGAAACATGATGGCTTGGCGATTTGTTCCGACTTTTTCCCCATCTCTCTCCACTCTTGGGACGAACAGTCCCGTTGTAGTTTTGACCAAACTGCGGGCAGTGGTCTCTAGCCAAACAGGATTGTCGACGTAGAAATAGCCCCATCTAGAGCCTGATGTCCTTGTTTCTTGAAGCCTAACCTGTGATCTAGGCCGTAATAGGCTGTATTCAAGCTGTGAATGGCCCAGTGCAGTGACCTGTATTCGAACCATCCCGAGTAAAAAAGTACATACTCATACATATAAACTGGAGCAATATCCCTGAAAAGAGAAAGCGGCAAGTTCCAAGAAGCCAATTTACTCCCGTTTGTTCTTTCTTTGTAGGAGCTTTCGTCCGAACCCGAAGATTTTTATACATACCAAGATGAGAGTGGCCAGCACCGTTCGGTACATCTTCCGCCTCCCCTACCTGACTAAACGTCCAGAACATTCCATCTGGAAGGGCAAAGGAATCGACGATTCCCCCTCGTTTGAAGTCACAGTGCATTGCCACGATGATGACTCCCAATCAACCGGCTCCGAGATGGCGGTGAACGCAAGCGAGCTGGACCTGCATCATGGCGGCAGCAGCAGCAGCAGTAGCCGATCTCGATTGGTACGGGTTGTAAGCTGGGCTAGCATTGTCTGCGACAGATGCCGATGGACAGCAGAGCAAGAGCGCGACTTGGCTATTGCACGGAGCGAGCTGGGGAGGTGTCAGAAAGCCTGGAGCTCGGAGCAAGAGTTGTGGCTATCTTATGTATGTATATTTTTTTTTTCTGCCCATTGCTTTTCTTAATTTTTTGCTTGTTTCCACTTCGGAATCAAGAGATATTTCGTCTGCGTCGTTATGGATGCATGAAGTACTGATAGTTATCACTTTGGGATTGTTTAGATCGAGGCCTTGACGGAAGAGAAGGAAGCTCATGAGGAATTCCTTGTCCATCGAGCTAAACAGCAGGATGACGAGCAGCAACATTTTCGGAAGGCTTGGAATAGACGCCGGTCCTCTGAGGAACAGCCTGTCGACGCTAATGCCCATCGGGCTAGTAGTAGAGTGCGACGCTTACGGAAACGCCATACTGGTGATTTCTACTGAGGGCAATCTGGTATTGTCATGGGGAAAGAAAAAAAAAGAGAAAAGAAAAAGAGAAAAAGTAGAAGAAGACATCGGTCATTGCTAGGATGTACTGGGAAGCTGACAATTCTACAGATTCTTATGATGCGACCTTTGATTGCCTTCGCCCAGATTACTTGTGGTTGATATGCATTTCATTTCTTCAAATATCTTGTTGCTGCTACCCTTTTGTCTACTAATATCCAATATGGATTGTATATACCTACATAGCCATGAATGAATGAATGAATCGTAATCTTGAGATTTACTTAGTCAGGGTCAAGTTATTTATGGATAATACCCCGAGAGTCGATCATGTCCCACTTTCTATGGATCTATCGATCCACTAACTTATTATATTGTTAGGGAAGAAAGGCCCTTTCTCTACAGGGACATGGATTACTTGTATAACTACCGTGCTATGACGTATACTAGAACCTGATCACCATAATGACAGCCCGAGGAGTTAAAGAGGCACATTATCATACTTTCTATAGTTGATGCTGATCTCAAAAAACTGGAGCCGCCAAAAGCAACATCCTTCGTTGACAGGCGGAGAATACCGCGGAGGAAGATAAGAAGCGCGGACAGCGGCGAAAGGACCAAAATTTGGATTTCGCGATCAACAGTCACCTCTGAGGCTGTGCCCTTTCTCAGTTCAAGAGGGATTTCGAAACTGGATCATATGGGAAGATGGTCAAACCCTATTGACTTGGGTGAACTGATTGATGACCCGGCCTTATCTCTTGGCTCATTAAGTGACTAATAGCGTAAGTCAACCTGCTAAAGCTGTCAACTGATAAGCTTGCATCCAAGGCTGACGACTGGCTGCCCAAAGAAGGACCTCACTTGCATGGTGTAGCTTGAATCCAGCCTGGTGGTTCTAAATTAACTACAGTTGACAGGAGGGTTTTTCTAGACCCGACATTCAGATTAGCGCCCGGTTTTCATGGGATTATGGCTTGACCTGAGACGCCTTGTCTAACGGCGGCAATCCGTTAATATCAAGAATCGGGGAAAATAGATAGTGATGATTGTTCAGGCTTATGATGGCTCACAATGAGGATTGTTACTGATCATGCGATAGCAACTCGGAGCAAACCAATTGGGGCTTAGGGCGTACCCCGTGATCCATCAACGCTCATTAGCTTATCTTCAGTCGTGATGTCCTATCTATCTACTAGTGTTGAGTATCAGTCGTCCTTCTATCATCCGCTTACTGCTCCCTCTTGGACAGGGAGCATGCATCTCCACTGCCCCAAGACTCGATATATCCACTTAGTTCCAGACCTCCCCATTCTCCATGAAGTTTCATGAACCGTTGGCCACAGCTATCTTCTCTGGTCGCCCATCATGAAACGGCTGTTACCTCAATATTAGATTAATATCTTTAACGTGACCGTGCCTCCATATTTCTTTTATTCCAAGGGCTATTGAATATGGAAGCATATGACATCCTCTGATCATCCTGATGTGCCATTGGGTACGGCATCGTGGAGTCCGTCCATTGAAGGTTCCCCTCTTCTGTCATACTCTAATGCCCTAGTGACTACTCCGTACTATCGACCGGCTTTTTTTTTTCAATAATACCGCGGATACCCCTTGCGGTGCGCTTGATAAGCTTTGTGTCCACTAATGATGGTGACTCTCGTCCTTTTGACGAAGAGCCGATGTCTATTTCCCACTCTGTTCTTGTTTCCCTTTCCGATCTATTGCATGACCTCTTATATGGTACTCATTTAGTGGCGTCTACAGTAAAGCTATTTGCCTTACTAGACTGAACTTACCTTGAACCACCTATATTAGTGTCCCTCCCCGGTAGTCATCCGCCTCGGCCGATGCGCCATGAGTGTACACGATGTCGGTCACAACGTCTCTTTGGTGGCCCGAGGATAGAATCAAAGCTACACTATCCTCAGAATATGTCTTCGGTCATCTACCGTCCAACATCCTGCACCGCCTCGTGGAGCCTTTGCCCTGGGGAGAGGGCCTGACTAGCGAGACGTACCTCGACTGGATTCTCTCCAAGGCGGGGAGACTTTTTCTCATTTTGGTCGATATCGGGATTCCAGATCGCATTTTCGCCTTGGTAGATGAGTCATTTGATGACTCGGATCTGCCTATTGCGGCTCACAGCGTCGATCGCCTTCACCTTTCGCCAGAAAATGAAGACCCTTCCTTGGAATCAAAGTTCTTCCTTGCCCAATGGCGTTTCATTGTTCGCGGAATTGGCGAAGGCGAATACGTAAAATATACGGAGAATGAGGGCGTCCCCGTGGAGCTTCTGCGAACTGGAACAGCCCTTGTGAGAGAGGGTGTTGAAAGGGTTGTCTTAGCTAGTGCTGTCTGTCGAGTTTACTTGCGGACGCAAGTCACAATTGGAGGGGCACCGCATTTTTTCGAAGAAGATGAGGTTCTTGAAGAGATTAAGTCGTTGAGACGACTGGCGCATGACCATGTATATTCGATATACGGGTCTTATTTTGTCGACAAAACTGTGTGTATCCTTTTCACGGGTGTATACGAACGCACTTTGATGTCTTTCCTCACCGATATTCCGTCGCACTTCAAGCGTCTCCCCAAAGCCCAACGCCGAGAAATTTTGCTTAATTGGCCACATTGTCTCGCAAATGGCTTTCATGGCTCCATGCGCATGGTCAGGTTCATGGCGCCATTCGCCCTTCGAACGTACTCATTGATGCAGATTACAGAGTCTTTCTGGGCCAATTCGAAGCTCTCGATACCCTGTTACCTCCAGTCAAGGTAGATGACGTGGAGTCATATCAGTATGGTGCTCCAGAACGCTGGGTACGCTTGGCTAGTGTCCAGCAAGCAGGTCCACAACGAGTTGACCTCCCATCGGGTGGGCGTACAGCTCGGAAGCAGTCAGCGCATCCAATGAAGCTAAACCTGTCAATATTGAAAGGACCACACCGGGCGGAACATGAGTCTGTTAGCCCAAGATCTGGTTCAATGGCTTCTCAGAGCACCGCCATTCGTGTTGGTCTTCCTGGATCTCGGTTTTCCTTTGCTGCGTCGTCCTCTTCGGGATCCAGCAATGGGAGTGCTCGTAAACGCGTCATATCCTCCATCAAACGGCCTATATTATACACGCCCTCTAT